TGTCCAGAGGGTATGTATACGTACTTGACTCTACGCCGGTCATACACTAACAAGCCGCAGATACGTAAATGTCACACTCCGTTTCCTCACTGACGAACTTGGTTTCGACAATGATGAGATATGCCGTGAATTCCTCGAAACGCACGGTGCGCAAAACGTCATTGAAGACAAAGGCGATCGTCAGTACCGCGTCAGGATCAGAGAAGCCGCATCACAGTTTGAAAGCCTCCGTGCTGCCGCATTCAGCAAAGTAGACATCAAGGGCCAAATATGAGTCGACCTCCGAGCAAGCAGCACCTTCCTTTCATCTTCTCCAGTATCTTATTACGATTTCGAATTTTCAATTGCACTAATCCTCTACGATACCCTGCATCACCTGGCACGTCACTCGTGTCTCGAGCCACGACCCCTCCGGTGTTTATCGCTGCTTCTCTCGATGACAGTAGACGGAACGTGGGGCACCCGCTTGATGCGTTGGATGCGCGGAATCTTCTAGTTTTCTTCTCATACATGCAATGTCTCAGATGTTGCTCATCACTAGCCAAAATGGGTTCTTTCGAGCTTTTGGTACGTCATGGACATGGATGAAAAAGTGGACTGGAAAACAAAATGGGGTAGAGTGGAGTTGGCCTAGATGGTCATGTAGGATTCGAGCTGGCTGCTCGATGGTGGTGGTCCCTGTGTCTCAGAGCATTCGGCTCGGGTATGTCCGACTGCACGTGGGGTCGGCAAGACCGGCATCACGGCAGTATGTCCCACGGATCTGCAAAGATTGAGCAACAATGTGGCCATAGCACTGATCGTGAGGTGTTGGCTGCCGCGTTTTCGATTGTCCATTGTTTGGACCATGGCTGGGTATGTTCCTTTGTGAATGCCAGCTGGGGCGGCTTGACTGAGCCAATGAGATGACGGAAGAGGGCATAGAGGGTTTGATTGGATAGGGCGTAGTTGTTCAGTGGAGGTTGGCGCTAGTGATATCCACTCAGAGGATGCAGGCGTTCGTGTAGTTGTCAATGCATTGGTTCATGGAGCTTGCGTTGAGCATGTGAAGCGCGTTGTGAAATTGTACGGGATAGTTGCTAGACCCTGTGGTGAGAAATGTTTCATTCGGGCCGCGTCAAGCATTAACCATGGGAAGAAGATTTGAACAACGCTATCTATGACAGACAGGAGGAGAGCGTTGGGTTTAAGTTTGCATGTGGAAATGATGGCATGGTCAATGTAGGCATTAGCATCGTCTCATAGTAGGGCTCGTGATTGGCTGCAAGGGCATGAAAGCAACGCGGAAGTTGGAGGGGCTGCGGGTGACAGACGCGAATTGTGGTGGACCTGCAGCTAGACGTTTGGCAGGCTGAAGCTCCACCTGGTCGGGCATATTTGTATCTTGGTAGACACTGCACATTCCGGGTCAGCGTTTGGAGTCATTACGGAAGAACAAAGGGGAAGCGGATCTGACGCGTTCCTTTGCCCGCATCTCGTTTGTTCCGAGGCGTGCCAGGAGCGTCGCCGCCCCAAAGTGTGACGCGAGAAGAGGGCCACAGAGGTCCAGGAAGCAATCGCCAAGTGGTGTGCAGTAGCTGGGATCCCTCGCAGCGTGAGAGCATCCACTCATTTCTTGTTCCCCGTAGTGACTGCGCCTCTTGCAGTACCTGACGACGACGAGTATCGCCGCCCACCTAAGTAGCCTCACCATCGTCTCTGGAGGGCCGGTGCACGCTTCAAACTCAGCTTCAACCCGCCGCGTACTCGCCCCCGCACGCACACGCCGCATTCCCGGTCGACAGTCATAGTAGCAACACACCCCGAGCGACCACATCCAACCCTCGACCTCCTGATCTCTCCCTACACCGGGACGTTCGCTGCGCAAAGTCGCGTTCACGCTGCACGATGAAGGTGCGTTGCTTTGCTTTTGCCGCCACGCACGCCGCTGCGCCGGTCGAGTCACGCTCCGCATACGTACGTACTAACGGTGTTGCTTTAGTTCCGCAGGAGTATGAAGAGTGAGAAGGACAACCGCCCGCACCACATTTCAATTCCACCCAAGGACGCTATAGCCATTGTCCCGCCAAAAAAGGTACGTAGATCAACGTCGGGGCCCAAGCACCCCACTTCTGCTTCTTCTACGAGGCATGAGCGCACAAGGACGGGGCAGTCGTTCGCTCTTGGACGCACCACGCGCATTGCGTGAGCGCCTACATATGGGCGGCACACTTGCGCCCGAGTCGAACAACATTGCACGTCGCTCCATGCCGCCATATCATGATGCGCGCGTCCCCGGCACCCGCTTCCCAATGGGGTAGATGAGCGCGAAGCTAACAGCCATCTCATTTCAGGTCATAAAAGCGCTTTACGACTACAAGCCCGCCGACCCCAGCCCAAACTCTGGCTTCCTGGCCTTTTCACAGGGCGACTTTCTGCACGTCGTCGGCCGCGAAGACGACAGCGAGTGGTACGAGGCCTGCAATCCGCTGCACGGCACGCGTGGACTGGTACCCGTTTCCTACTTTGAGGGCGTAGGCAAGACTGTGCGCGACAGTGGTGGCTCTGCGCCGCGCTCCTCCACACCGCATCAGCAACAACAGCAGCCCCACGACTCGGGCTACCAAGAACGCATCACGAGCCCCCAACCCTCGGCCCAGGACATCATGACACAGCAGATGCGCATGTCACGCGGAGGAGGGCGTGGCGCCATGGTCTACGGCATTGTCATCTACGACTTCAAGGCAGAGCGGCCCGACGAGCTCGAGGCCAAGGAGGGCGAGGCCATTATCGTCATTGCACAGTCCAACCCCGAATGGTTCGTTGCAAAGCCGATAACGCGCCTCGGCGGTCCTGGCCTGATACCCGTATCCTTCATCGAGATCCGCGACATGACGACGGGCCAGGCAGTCGCCGACACACAGGCAGCAGTCACGGCCGCGGGCGTGCCCAAGGTCGAAGAGTGGAAAAAGATGGCAGCAGACTACAAGAATGGCAGCATACCGCTTGGAAAGCTCGAGACAAATTCAGGACAGTCGCTGCAACAAGGCATGGAGCGCATGAGCATCAGGAGCAACGGAGGGCACAACAAGGCCGGCTCGGTAAGCTGGCTGACGCCGGGCGCACCCATCTCGGCTGACAATATACAGGTCTCTCACTCGCGCAACGGTTCCACGGCGCAACCACGAAACCAATACCGCACATCCGACAACTTGCTTGCACCCATCAAGGCATGCGTGCCACGCTACTGCTTTGCCGACGACATCTTCTGGTTCATTATAGAGTGCCAGATGGAGGATGGCCGACACTGGGAGTTGCAGCGGCTGTACCAGGACTTTTACGACCTGCAGATACAACTGATAGCGACATATCCCGTCGAGGCAGGCACGAGTGGCTCAGGCGAGCGAACACTGCCCTTCATGCCTGGGCCCGTCACTTACGTAACGGACAACATCTCCAACGGGCGCCGCGCCAACCTCGACGAGTACATCAAGAACCTCCTCAAGCTAGGACCGCACATCACACAAGGTCACCTTGTCAAAGGTTTCTTCGCACCAAGACAGGGCGACTACGAGATAGACCCGGATATCGTCGCTGCTGAAGAGTATCGTCTGTCACAGCAATCACACCAGTCATCGAACCCATCACAAGGAACGAGCAGACAATCATCTGCAGATCAACTGCAAGCCACAACACCTGTCACACCTTACTCAACTGGCTCCAACTACCCCTCCCACCAGCGCGGCCAGTCAACAGCCTCGCAAGCATACTCGTCAAACCTTAACCCACCGCCCATGACCCACAACCACTCCTCTACTTCCACAGCCACCAGCACAGGCACATCCTCTGCCCTCAAGATTAAAGTATGGTTCGAAGAAGATAACTGCGTCGTCATCCGTATGCCCATTTCGCTCAAGTTCATCGACCTCTACAATAAGCTTGTTGAGAGAAGGAAAATGGAGCGGCCAGGAGAGGAAGAGGAGGAGTTGATTGTTGAGTACAAAGACGAACAGGACAATTATTTTTACCCCATCGAGAATGATGAGGATCTCCAGATCGCGGTTGAGAGGAATCCCAAGCTGACGCTCAGTGTTACCACGAGGCGGTAATGGTTGAGCAACGATACAGGCTATCTTCACCCCGCTCAACCTCATTTCACTTCGCTTCTATTCATCGCGCTTTTCTTCTTCTTTTATGAGAACTTTGTTCTCCCTGTGGCTACTGTCTGTGGCTACCTTCTCTATTCCCCACTTTTGGCGTTGCAAAAGGATTCATAGCTTCCGAGAGCGATCTGACTGGCGTTGTTGGGCGTTCAGCGGAGCAATGAGTGCATCACGGCAGGCGGGTTCTTTTTTTTTCGGGTTGCGCTTGAGTTGGATCTACTACAGGATGTTTGACATGTTGCAACGGGGTGTTGGGTGCTTGAATATGCCACGGAGGATTCTAGATGATATACACAATGGGGCTCAATACGGGGGCTGAGGGGGGAACACGACGGGGAAGTGAGTGGAGGGTAGGCAAAATGAGAGATATCTTGCGTACATCTGACCTTTTGCTCATCCAGGCCTTCCTTTCTACTGAAATGCTCTTTATATGTTTAAGCTAATCATCGGGATTTCCCAGATGCCCACGCGAGTCTCACGTATGTCGATTAGTATGCGGCACACATGAGCGCAACATAAGCGGAAGTATAGAGGCAGGTCAAGGCGGCTTTTTTCTCACAAATCAACTATTATATCTTTGACGTGTTCTCCTCCTCGACGAAGTTTCAGATGTACCTGTACCGAACTCGGCACCCATTGAAAAGCAAACGGGGAGAACACTTTGGGCGCAATACTACTTTTCTTGGATGAGAGATGTTACATCATCTCACATCGTAGTCTACTTCAAGTTGTCTGTTCACGTCCATTTTGCGCGTATTACCCCATTCATCCATACCGTGCCTCGAAACCATGATGATCAAAACTCTAAAATGCAACTTTCCTATACATACACTCCCCTCTCGTGCACACTTTTCATGGTCACGAAACGCTCCCATCTGTCCCAACAATCACCGTCCTCGGCGCATGTGCCATGAATAAATGCTCGTCCTCCTCGATCTTGGCCTTCGCTGCCGGCTGACCGATAATGTTTAGAAATGTCAGCGCATGCGCCTGGTCTCTGAACTCCATGGTCGCCATGCTGTTCCAATCCACAGGATAACTGGCGTTTACAAAGGCGGGATTCCCACCAAAGTAGTGTCGCGTGTGCACGGCGGGAAAGTTTGGGCCGGTGAGCGATTTGACGAGTGGGATGTGCACGTTGTCGTAGTGGTCGGCGTATTGGGTCAGGTTGAGGCCAGGAAGCATGGTACCGAAGACGAGGGCGGTGAAGTAAGGGAGCACCATCTTGGACGAATTCACCAATCTGTGAGAAGTTGGTAACGAGTGGTATGAGATGCGAATAGGATAAGTGTATCTATATTTGAGGTTCAGAGTGTGGCTAGAAGGCTGGGAGACGAATGCTGTCTAGGTTGGTACGCTCTTATATATCTAGCTCCAGAGGTAATCACTACAGGGTATCATTTGCAGTCACAAAAAGGATGAAATCAATTGAATGGCCTGTTGGTTCTAACTGCCACAAGCGTACGGCGTTCAGCTAGTAGGCCTAATTTGCCGTGGCTATGTCGCTTTAGGGATGGATCGCGAAGCGAGGACTTTTATCACGAGAACCAATTCACCTATATCTAACGGTTGCAATCGGTGGACTTGCGAAGGGAAGTCAAGCAAGAAAGGGTCGAGAATTCGTTTTGAGTTTCTTTGTCCCAACGATCATGGTCCTTCAGCCTACGGGAAACTGGGATCTAGAATAGGTATGACAATTGGGAGACCACCCCTGCGTCGAGAAACGGGCAACCAATCAGAACATATTCTACAAGCCGCCACAACTGAGCACATATAACCATAGAACACTGGAAATTAGTTCTCCTGCCCGATCCGCCGTCTGTCGTGGTACCGTTTTGAGGATGCTGTGGTGCGCCTTCCTGTTTACCACCTGCCGCCATTGCCATCACGTGACAGTCTGTCGGCGTTCTCCTTGAAGCGTCCGCAGTCACGAACGTGCTCCGATAACGATCGCACATAAGATGTCGTCCGTCGGAGCAAGCTTCATGTATCCAATCATGCTGAGTAACGTCACACCAGCAATGCAGTGTCAGGCTAGAAGTCGTTGTCTGCGCGCTCCTTCCCCGCGTGGACGGCCTGGCAAAGTATCCGGTGCTTTCCGCAGCCACCTCCACATTCTACCCCGCAAAAGCAGACATCGAAACGGGACAGCCGGGCCTATTCAAGAACACTTAAGTTTCCGTTGCTTTCCTTGGAGTCGTTGCGATGCTGAGTGTTACGAATATTCGCTATGGACCACGACCGAAGCAACCCTGGACCGATTGGAAGAAACAGGCCAGGTGATCAAGCCGAACCACAGTATCACCGAGCATACAAAGGTGGGAACTATACGAAAGGTTTACACACGTTCGGGGCTAACTTGTGACAAGCATGCATCTCCTGCCGGAACAAGAAGGCAAAATGCAGGATCACGGCGGAGGAGTATGCCGCTGGGCTACCATGCGCTAAGTGTCGCAGAGAGATGCGCCCTTGCACATATACCGTGACAAGACACGGCCCAAGACGGCAGAGGCAGAGCGTCAGCCAGAGTCAGGATGGCGAAGAAGATAGTATAGACCTAGGCACGCACAGTGCTGTACAGCGCGATGATGCAGGGGATATTTCTCAAGATTCCATCAGTGCTGACTTGAACAATACTATGATGACCACCGTCGTCTCAAACGGCAACGACGCTTTGAATCTGCTCTTCGAGGCAGCCCAACGCGAAGAAAGAGAAGTCAATGGTGCACGAGTGCCGGTGCCTATTGAACAGCACGCTACTAACGCAGCTTCTACACCACTCTCATCCGTTGCCAATCTAAGTTCCAACATGTTGCCGGACCTTTCAAATGAACTCACTGACACCTGGAACGCTTATCGCTTTGTGCGTATGGGTTGGCTATCAGCTCCAGAGATCGTATGGTACTTGGACATGTGTGATCACCCAGCCTCGATCTGGCGGAGCTAAATGCTGATCTAATACGTAGGTTCTTCAAGAACGTTGCACCGTTGTGTCCGATTTTGGATGAGTGTGAGTTCCTCCGCTTCGGCCCACCGCTCATTCTGTGAAGCATAGCTCACAGACATCAAGTCTACGCAGAGTGGTCGAATCACTACCTGTTAGTGACGCATGAGCCAGTCCTCACTTGTATGATACTGGTCATATCTTCTCGCTACCACACTTTGCCTACTATCGGAGGGCATTCAAGAGGCTATTTGATCCACCAGAGACTATGGGATCACTTCCAGCACCTACTTATGCGCCTCGTATTGGGATTGGAGAAATACTCTAAGGCCAAGACGCGAACGCTGGGTACCATTGAGGCCCTGCTGTTGTTGACAGACTGGCATCCTCGAGCTCTGTACGCGCCTCCACCCAGTGACGGCTGGGATTCAGATATCTTGTTCACTGTGAAAGATCGACGTGATCAGGACGGGAGCACAGTTGACAGCCCTTCTAGGACACGATGGCGAGAGGACGTGATCGAACCGGCCAACAGATCAGACCGGATGTGTTGGATGGTGCTTAGTTGCGCATTATCTCTTGGCAATGAACTCGGCATATTTGACGAACAAGACGAGCATGATAGCGCAAATACGAGGTTAGCGCAATGCGAGCGTCGAGTCGCGCAACATAAGACTTGGCTGGCCAAACTCTTGTATGTTTACCAGGAGCAGCTCTCTTCACGACTTGGCCGCCGGTCAATGATGACACCTAGCAACAGCCATTCGGCGGTATGTTCGGATACTTCTCAAGCGGGCAGCGACATACAGAGACGCGCATGGACTCCGTTTCTCACTGCGTGGACACGATTGACTAAAATCGTGAGGTCTATATCAGATCTGCTCTTCCCTAACCCTACCACGACATCTCAGATCATCCGCAGCGGTCGCTATATCAGCATGACAGAGCATATCCAGACCTTACTCACCGCCTGGTCGAAAGACCATGATGACACCCTCTGTGAGTGCTAACCGATATCATTTCTTATCTCGCATAGCTGACAGCAGGCCACACAGCAAGTGATACGTACCTCGGCAGCCTCCTCGTTCTCGAGTATGAGAGTACGCGGATGCACACGTATTCTCTAGGACTTCAAGCCATTTTGTTTCGCACCCTGGCTGAATCGAGCAGCGCTGTCTCAGGTTCTGCGTCATTTCAGCTTACGCCCACCGATTTTGCGCACGTGCAGGAAGTCATCAATAGCACGCTGAATACACTCAAGATAGCTATTAAGCTGTATGATTTGGGTTTCTTACGGTTTTGCACGATAAGGACCTTCCTGCACATCACGACTGCTTCCATATTTCTCCTGAAAGGCCTTGGATTGGGGGTCAGCCCGGCTAGGTTGCAAGGTGCACTAGAGGTCCTGACGCAAGTCATAGTGGCGCTGAAGAACAGCAATCCAGACGACCTCCATCTGGGCGGCCGTTATTCGATGCTCCTCGAAATGCACATGACAAGGCTACAGGAGCATTTTGTGCCCTCGACTCGGCCGCAAAATATCACACCTCCGAATTTTGATCTTTCTCGGTTCCCGGGCCTCGCTGCCTCGCTGGAGGCGAATCATTTCGAACTCGTGGATCTCCAGCAAGTGCCAGAAATCGATACGTCAGATGAAAATTGGCTCAGCTTGCCACTCGACTCAAATCTCATGTCATTTAGCATGGACAACTTTCAAGGTCTACAGTGCTTGGGTGATGGCACCTTGGACTTCATATGGAATTTAGGAATGTAGCTGTCTTCGACAATCAAGCCTAATCTCACCTTTGGAAGTCGAGCAGCAATCGATAAACTTGACTGGAGCTCTTCAAGCAGACAACGAAGGCCTAACTTCTTGCATAAGAGATGCCTATTCTAGCAGTGAACACGATGTCAGAACAAACACATGCTGGTAGCAGTGAGATCGGCCGATATCGCGCTCATGGCCAGGAAACCTAAGTGAGATAACGGAACTTGACGTTCTTGTCTCCGCTATCAGTCACATTCACGTGCGCGTCCGTGTCTACCTCGCCGTACAGGCGATCGCGCTTGCGGTTCTCGATTTCCAGCTTCTGGTGCAGACCAAGAGCTAAGACCACCCCTAACCCACTGAAAGCACATCCAACAGCGCAACCTGTAACGTAGAATGGCCTGCGAGGTCAAGTCAGTGCTTCTGCGAACGTGAGCAAAAAAGAAAAAAGATATCTCACCCGTCACGAGATGGGAACAGAGTGCTGCTGACGAAAGACGAGCACTGTCCAAAAGTCGCCAGGATACCGAGACCCGCGCCTCTCTTCGAATCGCCACCCTGATTGTTGAGCAGCCAGGTAATGTTGATGGCCAATGCAGGGAAGATGCCGCATGTCGCGAGGTAGATGGCCGCATAACGAGGTCCTGTCTTGGTCTCGTCTTGAATCGCTGCCAACATCAGGTAGCCCACGGTACCCATGGTTGCAAAACCAGCGACAAACCAACCTCGCTTGCCAAACCTGTCAGAGCCCCAGGCAGCGAACATACAGCACAAGAAGGCGAGAAAGTAGGCAGGCGCTGTCAAGCCTTGTGCATTGACCGAACTGTAGCCCATATCGCGGACGATCGTCGGCAAGAAGTTCGACAAAGCAGCGAATGAGTAGTTGCAGCAGAAGTGTATCGTGGCATGAACCCAGTTCTGATAATCTGTTAAACCAGCAAAGACCTGCGTCCAGCTTACCTTCGACTTCTCTGTCCGATCAACAGTGGCAAGTCGCTGACGAGCCTGCTGCTTCTCTTCGTCTGTCAGGAAGTGCGCGGTATCTGGGGAATCGGGAAGACAGCAATAGACAAGGACTGCGCATAATACAGTCGGCGCTCCCTCTAAGGCCCAAATCAGCAACCGTGCTCACGTGGGGCCTGAATAATACCACATACCAATCAGGAAGAGTAGCCGCCATGGAGCTATCGATGCCTTGATATGGAGGATGCCATACGCCAGCGATGAAGCGAAACAGTTCGCTAATGGCGACATGCCTGTCAGGAGAGCCACACGCTTGCCTAACTCCCGGCGTTGGTAGAAGAGCGATAGAAAGTACGGTGCACCAGCTCCGAAAGCTGCTTCGAAGAACCCTAAAAACGCGCGAGCGGTCATGAGACCAGCTTTGTTGTGGGAGGCGCCAGTCAATATGGCTGTAGCACCCCAACTTTTCCAGCGTCAGCACAGAGGGCGACATCGAGGAACACAAACGAACTTACAGAAAGCATAACGCAGCAACATAGACGTGCGCCGGCAGTATCTTCCAAAACAGTTGGGTCCACTCGAACAGCACGTAGGAGATGTAGAAGATCTGGAGGACCCACATCCAGTCGTTGTCAGAGAGATGGAGGTCCTTTAGGATCCCGGCAGTCTTCGCATTTCCGATATTGCCTCGGTCGAGATACGAAAGGACATACAGGAGGCACACGATTGACAGCATTTTCTTGTCGAACTGTCAAATCTGATTAGTGGGGATTACAGAGGTTGTCGGGGTATAATACCTTGCGACGGATGCGAGCCTGGACGTCCTCAGCTACTGGCACTATGTGCGCCTCCACCTTGGTTTCGGCCGTTTCCATGTACTCGACTGTTCGAATGTCTGGCTTGCCTTGTTCAATGTCTGCCATTGTCAAGCTTCTTGGAGGGCGATCGTGCAAAGGTGAAGTCAATTTGGCTAGATTGGGTAATGAAGCCGAATGATGGATGTAGATGAGATGAACATCAAACGACTTTTAACCTCCGCTGTCGCATTGCGGAGTACATCAACTAGGAGTCTGATAAACGAAGTTCCCCGGGTTTACCCCAGGTTAGGGTCGGAAAGTTGAACTATCCGTCGCTTTCCATCCGGCGAGGCGAGTCGAGCCTGTCGAGGTTTCTCCGCATAAAGTATCCTTATCATTCCGGTCAACGTAACGAAGATCGCGGAAAAGCTGCCGCGGTTGCGAAAAAAGAAATGCATAAATCGTGAAGGAACCTTTTCTCTAAAGACACACACAGTATTCGAAATCAATCACGCAAGGTTGTCTTCTACCAATCCCGCAATATGTCGAAGTCCATCGTTGGAACCGTACCCTACCCTGTACGTACCTTTACAAGTCATGAACAAAGCCATAGCAGAAGCACTGACTCTCGCAAAAGTTCCGGTTCGATCAGAAAGCGACCACTAAGTCTGGCAAGCCTGGGCAAATCAGTGATGAGAGCATCACGCTTCCTAATGTCCGCGGTCGCATCCCATCTCTCCAGGCATCTCGCCTACGCACAATGATGCTCGAAGCCTACCGCGACCCATCCAAGATCCTCGCACACGCCTGCAGCTACGATGGCCTATCTTCTCGTCTTGTTGAGGAAGCCGGCTTTCCCATGATCTTCCTCGCCGGTTACCCTTGTGCAAGCTCTTACGGACTACCCGACACAGGCTACATTGCTATGGCAGAAATGTGCGACAAGATTCAGGAGGCGGTGCGACAGGTGACGGTGCCAGTCATGGCCGATGCAGATACAGGATACGGTAGCCCTATGAACGTCAAGCGCACAGTGCAGTGCTTTGCCGAAGCTGGCGCAGCTGGCATTATGATTGAGGACCAGACTTGGCCGAAGAGTATGTTGTTTCCAATTTGCTCCTAGATAACTGACCGACTCGGTAGGGTGTGGCCACACTAAGGGAAAGGCTGTTGTCTCACGAGGCGAGGCTTTTGCGCGTGTGCAGGCTGCCTGTGATGCTCGAAATGAGGGCAAGGATATATTCGTACTTGCGCGCACTGACTCACTCATCCTTGGCTGGGACGAGGCTATGTCACGAGCCCGGGAGTTCAAGCGTATCGGTGTCGATGCCGTCTTCGTTGAAGCCCTGCCTGATCGTCAGGCCATGAGCAAGTGCGTTGAGGAACTAGACATGCCAGTCTTTGCGAACAGTGAGTCACTCTCAGCATTCACCAAAGAGTAATAAGTGATTATTTATCGTTAGTCATCGAGGGCGGCTTGACACAGAACTTGTCCGCTAAGGATCTTGCCAACCTCGGATTCTGTGCTGTGGCTTATCCGTGGACACTCGTTGCTGCGAAATTGAAGAGCATCCGTGAGACTTTGGAGGCGCTAAAGAAGAGCATGACTGAAGGCGCTCCACCCATGATACTGTCATACTCTGAGGTTTGCGAGGGCGTGGGCTTTAATCGGTATTGGGCAAGTCCTCTCTTCCCTCGTATATGACGAAGCTAATGTTGCACAGGATGAAGAGGAGCGATACAAATACAGTGAAGACGGACTCATAAATATTGCAGCTGCCACAAACGGACGCAATGGCTTGAATGGACATTAACAGGACTCCACATGTTTGAGAGATGGGTATTGGTCAGGTAATCAATTGTCTTCGAAAAATGACTGCCCCACATGCCGATGCTTGTTAGACGGCTTATATGAACTAGAGAACAACGATATGTTTCCCTCTTGCTGAGTTTCCCAATAGCTATACACACCTGAGCCTGCCTACAAGTGCTTTCACGGATTCTATTCACAGCATCAATCTATAAGTAGACAATACTGCGCTAGACGATGAGCCATGTTTCTGTCTTGCCTTTAAGTAGCTAAAAGCTGAAACTGAAAATTTCAGAGTTATACCTAGATGCTCTGCAGATCCCAAGCAACAGCAAATGTCTGTTCCACCGACGTCATAGCAAAAGCCTGCGCTTTGACAATAATCACAGCCGTTGGGCCAGGGACATCATCCCAGATGATCTTTTCAACGGTATCTGTAGTGGAAAAGAACGATAAGTCAGCGTTCTAAATCATTCAAGCATCTTTCCGCGGCATAATGAGGTATGCTAACTTACTTTCACAGTCAAATCCCTGGTCACCATCTGCCATGTTTCCATGTCGTTCGATAGGTTCATCTCCCGCGCCAGCACGAACAATGAGATTCATGTCATTTTGCAACAGCGCACCATGCGGGTCCGGATAAGTCATCGTTACAGTCAAGCGCATGCGAGTACCCGTCGAGGGAATGGTTAACGGCGGGCTCTGCCACGTCTTGTCCTTCTCCGAGGTGACTCGCAACATAGGCGCGTCTTGGGCATGAGGATGTTCGCTTTCGCATTTAATGTTGCCTTTCCAGCCGTCAACAAAAGAAAGCTGTCGCACCATCTTGAGGGAGGTCGAGACATTTACGCGTCCAAAGCCCTGCGCGTAATCGTAAATCATTGTTTTGCCACTTTCATCTTTACTACTGTGCAGTACTGCGCCATTGACCAATAAAGCTTTGATCAAAGCCGCGCTGATCTTATCTTTTCCAACGCCCTGTAGTGCTTCGCGAAGCAATGCAACGCAGCCTGAGACCAGAGGCGTAGCCTGACTTGTGCCTGACTGGAACATCCAATCAGGATCAGCAGATTCCCCGTTCGCGACGCGGCGGTGATCCTTTGGTGAGAGCGCGCGAGAGGCGGCGGAGAGGATAGCGACGCCCGGCGCAACGACGTCAGGTTTGATCCTCCCCACCGTGGTTTCATTGTTCGCATTCCGTGCGGGCAGCGTGGGACCACGTGAGCTGAAGATGGCCACGGAGGTGACATCCGAGCCGTGCTTGAAGCCACGGGTGTATCTTTGACCGTCATTATCTCGCGTCGTGCCTGTAGCGCCGACTGTGATGCAATTCTTTGCAGCTCCATTATCCCCTATCTGGCTCGCGCCTGCGTTCTTGGCTCTGGCGTCGTTACCGGCTGCCACGAGGATACAGAAATCTAGGTTGTCGCACATGAACCGATCGATGGCTGTCGCGCCGCCTGCGTATCCAAATTGTCGCGCCGTGGAGCTCCATTTGAGGCCCCAAGAATTGTTATGGATTCGAGCGCCGAGTTGGTACGCGCTTGAGTACAGAATGGACGTGTCTGCCGGCGGCTTCAAGCCCCAAGCACGAAGGTCGGGGTACCACTGAGACATGGCCTGTACAATGATCTTCGCGTTTGGCGCAGTGCCTTTGATCGGTACATCAACCATATCGGCGGTGTTCTTGTAGACTCCATTACCGCAGATGGAAGCGCAGACATGTGTACCGTGACCCACGGGGTCATTGGGAGTAGCGGTATCTGGAACCATACCGATGACTTGCACAACACGACCCGAAAAGGCAGGATGAACCTTAATGTCCCCTGTGTCCGTCGCTATGCCCTGGTCAAATCCTGAGTCGGCCACGCAGACAATTTGCCCAGTGCCCTGGTATGGGATCGAAGCATTCTGAATAGCGCCCACATCGAATAGAACGGCGCGCGCCTGGTCGTTGAACGTGGTATATTGCCGGACCTCTTCGATCCTGTTGACACTGTCTAATGCGGCGAGTGCTGCGAGCTTGTCCTGGTGAACAGTGACTCTGATCTTACGCTCCAGGATCTCGAGGTCCACAAGGGCCACTTCAGCCGCTTGCGCAACATAGGAAGCCAACTGCTCAGAGGTCAAGTTGGGAGTCTCATGAAGGATCAGATCGACCTCGTAGTCCTCTTGGTCGTGTTCGCTTTCGACCATTTCTTTCAATGAGATGGTTGTTTTGAGTTGTGGGAGATAACTGGGATTGGACCCGTTAGCTTTATCATCATTTAACAGCATATAGTCCACAGGACGTCGTTCTTACACGTCCGCTGTCACGACGAACGGCAACAGTCGCAGGGCTTGTAGATCGTCCGGCTCATATCGACACAAGAATGTGTTCTCCGCAACGTATTCTTGGATCTCAACATGGTGGTGTGCCAAAACCCCCTTCTCAGCAACAGTGAGGATATGATCGACTTGCACAAGAATGAAATTCGAATCTTTTGCATTGGGTGCAGACTCCACTTTTTCCTGATCATTTGCATTAACAATCCAGCCCTCGCCTTGTGATCCGATCGGTACGATTGTGTTACCATTGACGGTGATGGACGCCATGATGCCGTCCTAGGTTGAACTGAGTCTTGGAAAAGTACGTTGAAGATGTTCAAAGAGGATTTGAGAAAAGCGTCGAGAGCATAACGCAGATACAAGTGCTCAGAACATTCGGTAGACCCTGTACGTTATTGTCCGCACCTTCGTTAGCCATTAAGCACGTGTAAAATCCCGCCCTTTGTGATTTAACGCATCAAGGCCTGCACAGCTAGCCACAGCCAACGCCATGGCTAGAAAAACCTGGAGCCGCGGCGCTATTGACGCTCCAGACCGTAACTGAGCGAGGCAGCGGACCTTCCCAGCCGCTCAGCCAGCTGAGCACAACGCCACAAGCTAGCGAAGGCTACAGATAGGGTTAAGACGCAACTAGGGTTGAAGACTATACTGTAACAAGCAAAACTACAAACGACATCAGAAGTAGACACATCCGATGCCATCATGTGTTCTGGACCCTGCGGAAGATGGAGTCTAAGAATTATGAACTGGACTATGGGAAGATCGGTTATAAACACAAACGAAAGTAAGCCCAATATGACCAAACATAAATTGCTCTTACAAACACCGGTAGCAAATAACAACAGAGCCGACTAATTAGAGGATGAGTAGGTGTATCTCTCTTTGTCGCAGATAGCTTGACAGCGCATCCCTGCTGCAGACAACGCACATGTACACCAACATACATTCACGATCAGGATATAAAGTTCCCATTTCATGGCGATACCTCCCACTTCACCCGTTGTATAGTAATGCGTACTGGAAGAAACGGACGAAACTCATGCAATCTCAATTGAATCTGCGTTACCATATTTCGTCTAAGGCCACACTCGCGTATCTGCATCCGTGGCGTCCTGTGAGAGGGGAAACACGACTTCATCCAAGTATGTTTTCACCCCTGTTTCCCATGTCTTGCCCGCCTTCTTGAGCTCGATCAGTTCACGACACTTCTCGACGGCATCACGGCAGCCAATCATGCTGTTAAACTGGTCCAGGTTGGCCAGGTTTGTCGGATCGGGGATGGGGGTATCGGCGTGATCGTACAGTTCGTGATGGTGGTCGTCTTGTCCATTGTAGACGTGGAAGTTCTCGATTGGGCCCCATCTGTCGACGACACCGGGCTGAAATTGGAGAGGATCTGGCACAATGGTGTTGTCAGATGGTTTCAATCAATTACGCCACCATGTGATGGAAGGAAGAGATCCTGCGTTGCACCTTACCATCGGAGATCTTCGCTTCAGGATTCAGCAGCTTGCGTCTCGTGTGCCCTAGAGCGTAGGAATCTTGTATGATATGGAACATGCTACCGAGAGCTCGCCGTGGTATATCCAAGGCTTCAAACGCCGATTCACCAGATAGCAGATAGCGCAGCGTTCCCCAGTTGGCAGGCAGCGAGAAGTTAGGACAAAACTCGGCCATATCGGTCTTGCTGATGATTGTATCTGGTGTAATGCCTTCCTCTCCATTGGCGAGTTTCCACAGGACGCTGAGCCATTTTATCAGTTTTGCTTTCGTCTCCTCCGGCTTCTCTCCAAAATTAGAAGCCATACAGTGTAGGAACTGAAGGTCGCCGTAGTGGGAGCGCCCAGTTGGGTTTTGCATCTTGTCGGATTTGTCTTTTTTCCATTCGGATTCTCCTGCCTTGTAATAGTAACCCCACGTGATTCCTGTCGAGTAGGTGTGATTGGCGTCTGCGTAGTCGTCAAAGAGTAGACAAGCGGGATCGTCGTTCCACACGACTCCCCGAATGTACTCCCAATCAGCATTGCTGGCACTCTCCAGGGTAGTACCTGGCGCGACGTTGTATCCTGTACTGACCAGTGCAGCCAGAGTGATAGACTCGTGAAGAGGAGAGTGTATCAAACCTTCCGGCCCACCCGCGACTGCGAAGTTTACTCCATATTCTTTGCCCGTCGCCATATCTTGCGCGTCCTGGGAATGCGATTCATGGGCCATTGTAGTGGTGGGTGTGAATGTAGCTCACGATAGCGACAAACAATCTTGATATTGAACGGTAAACCGCGGCCCTTCCTTGTCTTAATTTTGCGTATCCGGACTTAAGCTTGATTTGGGACAGCGATCTCAGCTTAGCCATATATGAGCCCCCATACCAGCTTGAAGCTGAAAGATGCAAAGCACATCTAAGAGAAGCTGCATGAATCAGAATGCCACCTGACCTTGGTCGACACCACATTTGGCTCCCCTGTACTGTATCCGGGCGCCAGATCTACGCCTCTAAAACCGCCACAGCGTGTTGTTCAGTAGTTTCTAGCTACACAATGAATTCTCACTGCATAGGTTCGGCACTTCCGACGCGCGGTGGCAAGCTGAGACCTGCCGCAGATGGACCCCGATTCGATAGAGTGTCGACTCAGTCCAGGTGACGAACAGACATTCTCCTAGTCGAATACGTCCAATGACGGAAAGATTGAGCCTCATTTGAACCTTTGCGTCACGAGCGAACGTATCCACGGGACGAAAGTGTAGGACAGGTGGAGTGCGGCTGGTGGTCGCTTGAAGCCACGAGGCATACATTTAGGCGGGCCAGGTTTCGTTTGACCAGTTGCGCATAAAAGGTATGCCGGTAGGTGGTATCAACTGCAAATGGACGAAGCTTCCGCAAATGCACTATCGATGGACGTATATAGCGTAAGAGCCTATGGTGGTCAGTAGTTGTGGCTTTCCGTAAGTCACGCCAAGTGGGCGCGATGCAAAGCCACTCTATGTTCGTCGGTCTCCATCAGCACTCACCTACCATTTCTGGATGTAGGATCGCAATCCCGAGTGCTTTCGTACTGACCCACTTGACGCACGCGAGTCGTCACCTCACGGTGACTGGACAAGGTTTGGTAGCGACGGTTCTCCTCGGCCCAGACCGCCCCCGCCCCGCACACAACATGCGGGCCAAGCCACGTTTCTGACACTGCGAAGATGCACTACTCCTGTAATGCTCATGGCAGCTGAGAGTGCAAGCCCGGTTATCCTCCGCAAATTCCAAAAGAGCTTCGGCGTTGAGTAAGGGCTACGCCTAGTACGTCACACGTAGCTTGCCCCAACACTAAAAGGCTCCTGGTAGCTGCCAGTTCAAGCCAAACAGCCCTGATGTAGACGAGGCGAAGTAGACAACGCAGCAGGATGACAGCTGAAACTATCAGGAATTCTGCGCTATGAATATAGTGGCGCAGCTGAACCTTAGCTATGAGATCTCAATCTCTTGTCAATGCTACCTAGGTATGGACTTCTTGCTTCGTAGCTAGCTGTGTTGGTGCTGTAGTGGCTGCAGCTACTGGGGGTGCAGATAGCTCCTGTATCGTACTCAGCATCATCCGATAGCGAAGTAAGAAGATGATACTTGACATAAAAGCCTCGAGTTTGTCCGCTGTTTCTTCTCTCACACAGCATCTAGCCATAGATTCCTCAAAATACCACCACCAACAGCAAGCTTAACCAGATTGTATGATCTTTCACCATGTCTGAACAAAACGAGAAGAACCTCAAGGCCCCCGAGGGCGAGTTCCAGGAATGGACCGAGAAGACGTCTGAGAGCGGGAAAGCTTTTTTCACTAGAGACGTCGACGAAAAGGGCAACACAACCACCAAGCCAGCAGACGGGCCCGACCACGACGTTGACTCCCATGGCCCTTCCTTCGACCACGAGCCATGCTACTGGACGCCAGATACCGAAGGTTCTACATCCACCGATTTCGCCAATAAAACAGGTATGCATAGCAGCAGTGCTGTATGGTACGAGTGAATTAGTTGCTGTAACTGATACTTCGGAAAAGGCATCACCTGGTACAAGCTCAAGAACACCATCGGAGCGACGTACCAGTTGACTATCAATACGAACTCGACATACGACTACACGTTTCATACGAAGCCTGATAGCTATGGTCTGGATGTGTATCAGACTTGGACAACCCATCAAGTCACGTACACGACATGGGAACCTACCGTGACCTCGGTCAGTGGCCGCTAGGTAGTTGATGTTTTGCTGAACAGCTTTCATCGATGTCATCACCGATGCTAAACCAATGGTTTATAGTCGGGAGTAGCAATTAATTATGTTATCTTTCAGATCTATAAACATGACGCCCAATGTGCTTGACAACTCGTGCGACTTTGTAGCTACGATAACTGTGTAAGTCATAGAATCATGAAAAGCCTGAACGCAGGGCCCTGAAACATTCTGTGCCTGCCATGAATTCTACAATTCAGCTGACGCCCAGCTTTACACGTAGCCCAGAGCGAGCACTTCAGGGAGTTTCCAGAAAGTAGGTCTCACTTGTACCTGGAGGATACTAGCTTGATACATGTACTGTACAAAAGTAATTTGCTGCCGCAGCCTATATCGCATTGTTACATGCAGTAGCGATGCGCTTCTCCAGCCGGGTATGCTGCTGTTTGCACTAGATTCGCATGGCGTCTAATTCCCAAAAGTCACTGGATATGTTTGCAAAGCCCGTGTATGGCAGAGTCAACCGCGTGAGCACTTGTTGCTCTGTCCACTTTTCATAGCATTGCTTGCTGCCCACGCGTTACTGTAAATAGTTGGTCAAACTCTCCTTCTGGTGAAGGGGCAAGCGATTACAGGACTTCCTATCGGCAGCCATAAACAAGCAGTGTACAGACTAAACCGATATTAATTGAATAATTTAGCACAATTAAGTACATACGACCATAGGACACTGAAAATTAGGCTTCCCGTCCGCTCAGCCATATACAAGCAGTGTACCGGCGGATTAGTAGTTAGGTGGGTGACCACTAGCGAATCCCCGCTGTTGTGTGTTTTTGACTACCTATTTTTTGCGTCATTGTGTTTCGTGTTCATGTATGAATGAACCTGCAAAGTACTTCGCGGCTCTTCGCCCCATCTCCGAAGAAGGTACACGCAAGGCTTTGGATCGAGGTTATGTTTTTCTAGCATTGATTGAATTGCAAACTAACCAAGTAACTGTCTGAACTTGTCTGCGGCGTGGAAATAGTTTGATGGATAGATCGACTCCACCGTCGGGCATATTCGCAAATTCCAAGCCTGCACTACAGCCAGCGATCTTGAAGTTCCTCCCTACAAGGCAAAACTCGATCTTTAGCTCAAGTGAACATGTCTCAGCGTGTCAAGAGATTGAATTACGCTTCTATGCAAATGATCTCAGCTGCCTTCTCGGCAAAAGCGTAGACGGCAGTCAAGATGTTCCCTCGTGGTACGATTGGCAACACACTTGCATCGCAGATCCGCACATTCTTTGTTCCATATACTCTTAGCCGCTGGTCAACCACACCCCCTAGATCTTCTCTCATCAGTGAACATGTGCCACATGGATGGTAGTTGGTTGCTGAATTGATTGGGAGAATTCCTTTCGCATCCTCAAGTGACGATATCGGGTGGGGAAAGCTTCGAGGAAGCCGGGTTCCTTTCGGCTTTAGCACGGCAGCAAAGGTAGGTTGCTGGAAGAGTCTCTCGATGAGCCGCAAGTGACGAGCCAGTATCTCTGTATCAAGAGGATGGGAGAGGTAGTTGAACTTGATGTCCGGCTGATGCGAAGGATCAGAGGCGATATGGCAGCTTCCACGTGAGAAAGGATGGGCCAACATGGCAACGACAGTTACATAGTTGCCATCAACGACAGACGGCGTGCCTTTAGGAAGTGAATCAGCGTCTCTATGGCGCTGTAAGCGCAGCATGAAGCTTGTGGCTGTCGCTTCGCTGGGGCTTTCAACCGCCTTTTTAATGATGGAATACTGGGCTTTCAGACTCGGGTTACTCTCTTTTTCTACCCAACGCTCAACTATCTCGACGAGCTCCTGCGTCTCAGACGGAGTTTCCAGAATCTGCAGCGGTGTGAAGGCAAAACTATATGCTGCCCCTTCCGATAACCGACCAGTGTGACTTCTTTCATATTCTTCTAATGAAGCCTTTTGTAACTCGGGATTTCGTAGTACTTCGTCACGAGTAGGGATGTCGTCTTGAGTTTCGCAGGAAAGCCCGGCATTCAGGTGATCCTGCAAATTCTCACCAACTCCTGGAAGCTCGTACAGAACCGGGATGTTTGCGCCTGCGAGTACTTTTCTAGATCCGATACCTGATCGTTCCAAAATGGCAGGAGATTCAAACACACCCGCGCAGAGGATGATTTCTCGACCACCGACAAAACGCTCCTCCCCCTTATATGTGTAATGAACACCTCTAGCATTGAGTTTCTTGTCGGCGACCAAAGCATCATCAAACGCAACCTTATCAACCTTGACGCCAGCCATCAATGTTACGTTGCCACGTTCCAAAGCTGGCTCTAGGAATGCAGTGCCTGCATGGCTTCGCTCGCCTTTTGAAGAGTCGATCGCATTTGTGACTGTGACGGCTCCCGAAGAGCTCTCACTGAACCCCGAAGTATCTGTCGAATGACCGAGCTCCTCAAAAGCTTTCAGCCATTGAGATTGAAGGAGATCCATGGTGCGCGGGTATGATGTCTGCACACGATCCACATCGTCGTTGACTCTAGGCCTGGATTGTTCTGCCTGCCATCGGCTGTAGCAATCTCTCATGCCCTGTGAGCTCCACTCTTCGCTGCCCGGACCCGATAAAAGCTCTTCCGCGATACGGTCATGCCACTCATGATTTGGGAAAACGACACTGTGACTATTGATTGCACTGCTACCACCCACCAACTTCCCTCTTGGATGCTTCACCTTCCTATTGTTCAAACCCGGCTCAGGCGCGGAAGAATATTGCCAATCGTAGGCAGAGTTCGACATCAGCGTCGTCGATAGACCAGGTGTTTGGACTTTAGGATCATCGCGAATATGTTCTCCCGCTTCTAGAACGAGAATTCGGTGATCGGGTAGCTGCTGCGAGAGACGTGACGCGATCAAACATGAGGCTGATCCAGCTCCAACCAGGATGAAGTCGTAGACCTCGGCGTTATCGTGAAGGTTTCTGCCCGGCATTGTTCAAACAAATGTGGTGAATGTTGCGGGACAGAAAGCTGGAGGCTGCGCAGCAGTTAAGGCTACCAAGCAGTGAGGCTAAGCAGCGCGCTACAGTGTTAGCGGCAGATAAGCTTCACAGTATACTAGCAAATTTAGGTAGGTGTAAGCAGTGACCAGCGAGTCTCGTGCGCGCCTTATCCTTATTGCGGCCATTCAAGAGGAACTTAGGCGCTAGCACCGCTGCTTCAGCAGTAGCGCTTATGCAATGCTCGCTAACATACAAGGAAATAGCATTGAACACAATGTCCGTCTTTGCATGTGTTCAATGGTGTTATGACCATGAATAGTTTTTTTTTTTTTTTAAAAAAAAGAACCTTCTCTTGTATCTGGGTGGACATTTGCAAAAGATTCTAGAGTGCCGAACGAAGGCAGGCCTAACGAGGAGAGCGTTTTTGACAGCTCGTCACGACGTATCCGCAAGGTTAGGTACTTTAGCCGCTTTCGATTCAGGCGTCCAGTATGAACCGCCGACATTATGCATATGAGGGGTTCACATTTCCATCGAATATTTACAAGGCAAGCTGCAATCTAGATAGTCTCTCCATAGGGCGCACCCTCAAGTTTAAAACCACCCGGCTGCAACCTTTGGAAGACAGCAGTCGGGTCGTATTTCTTCGCAATGGACTTGAGCTTTGCCAGTTTCTCGTCTCCATAGCTCGGAATCACGTTCTGATACGGTCCAGCATAGTTGAGGTAAATGTATTTGGTGTACACATCTCGGTTCTTCGCCTCAACCTTGGCAGCTTCCATGAAATCCAGTGCAGCCTGGTTCAGCTGATTGTCTTTAGACGCATCATCCCAGACCATATAGAGTAGGGTGTGCATCAACGGGCCATCATCGGGAGAGAGACCGAGTGCGTTACCGCCCTTCTTGCTCATCTGTTCCATAGCCGGTACGGTGAAGGCCTGGAAGGTCAAAGAACCCTGGTTGGCCAAGGGACCTACGTCCTTTTGGTGGCGTGATTGTAGCCAGCCCATAAAGTCGCGATCGAGCTTGTATGTAGCCGCCCAGAAAGCGTAACGGTGGCCACCAGGCATCTGATCAGTGAGCATAACGGTGTCGTTTGCCAACGTTCTGTTTAGAGTGTTTGCTCGAATCGACGGAATGTCAAGGTACTTCTTGAGGATAGCCGGTGGATTGGCCTCGTCAACAGGCTCGAGGTACTCCAATTGGATTTGTCCGGCTGCATTGCCGGCTGTCATAGCGAACGATAAAATCTGAGCCGATTTGGGATCTTCGGTAGCACTTTCAGCCATTGATGCAAAGGCATCGATAAGCGCAGGGTAATCAGGTGACATATGGACACGAGTCCCACCCCACATGGGCCCTTGAGGGATTGTCTCCAGCTCGAATCTAGTAACAACACCAAAGTTGTTGCCTCCTCCGCGAAGAGCCCAGTACAGATCGGGGAAAGCAGTCGGAGTGACTTTCAGAATGATGCCTGACGCAGTAACAACCTCGTAGGACGCGACATTGTCACAAGCGTATCCATAGATACTAGACTGGTGCGCAACGCCACCCCCAAGAACAAGGCCAAGGCCGACATCTGATGCGCGTCCACCGATGACGGCAAGGTCCTGCTCTCCAAGCTTAGAATAGACAGCTCCCCATCGATTTCCGGGTCCGATAAAAGCAGTCTTCTTGTTGCTGGAAAGAGCAATCTCCTTCATCGCCTCCAAAGTAACAGTTATGCCATCTTGGATGCTTGAAGCGCCAGGGAATGCGGTGTGTCCACCTCCCTTGACTGCGAACGGACACTGCGTAAGACGAGAGACTAATATCATGGTCGATATTTCGATCGATTTAGAAGGTCTGAAAACGCAGGCTGGGTCGACTGAGGCTGCCTGGGATGACCAATACGCGCTTGTGAACGCATCATAGGAACCTGTTCCGCTAGAGAGGAGCTTGCTTCCGAATATGAGCTTTAGTGAGCTGCACTGTCCAATGAATTAGCTGACATGTTCTACAGGGGGAAGTAGCAGATTTCTTACAGCCGCAGTACACGAACTAGAAAGCGAACGCTTCTCATTGAATGCAGCCAGGTCGGGGAGAGCGGAGACGTTGACACCGTTAGCTATAAGGGCTTCTGTAACGTTAAAGTCAGAAGGCTCAAAGGCGTTTTGTGAGGCCGCACAGGCAGCAAGAGCTCCAATTGACGCGAGGATAGAAGCCTTCATGCTGACTAGGGCTAAGTGTTCGCTGATCTAAAACTCGCGGCAGTCCAGGGCTATTTATTTCATGTTGTAGAGGCTCAGACCAACTGTGGGATTCGGCAGACTCTTAGATCTCCTTCCTCTTTGCGACTCGAAGGGCGTCTGGAGGATCGTACGCCGCTGTCTAGAAGAGCTGCGACAAACATCCACCGCTTAGCTGCATACCGTGCCGCACTTCAATTCTTCCATGAAGACCAGCTAAGACGAATAAGTACACTTCAATCTCGGAGCATTAGCTCAACGAGAATCGGGTGCAGGTATGCGCACTTCCGAGGGCTTGTGTGATGAGACAACCAAATAATAACACCCGTTGATTAGTGCGTTCTTGATGCAGATGTAGGCATGGATGGAAGCGAGATGCAAGGCAGTATATGAACCATCCTCGACACGTTCCAGACAATCGATGAACTACTAGCTGGTGTCAGTTCGTCTGGTAGCTTTGCGTGATACGCCTGGCCAATGCGCTGGGCAAGAGAGGATGTCGTAAGCTATAGGCCATTGCCGCAAAATGTTTCATCGCGTACTTCGGAATAAGTGGGTGGGTATCTGCACGCCGAGACGGCGCTAAATCCGTGCCGTGCACCTGCGTGTAACCAAGCGGTATTTGAACAACGCCACGCGTCAGCTCCTTGATTTCTTCGTGAAGGGATTGCTCAACTCGACAACAACGACGTCTTGCCTTTCCACAAGCGAGTTACACTATCGTGTTACAAGAAAATTGTATGCCTCGGCGGCAGGCGAGGCAGGCGAGACAGGAGAGAGGAGCGGCACAGCAGACGCGTTGCGCAAGCAATGGTATCTTCAGTGACACTTCTCATATACGGAAGTATTTTGTTCGCTTATCAATCTCAATGTGTCGTTCAAGCTTCCTTGCTTAGGAATGTCTAGCTCCGGTGTCCGGAATCCAGGTTTCTATGTTTCTGGGTTCGTCCAGAGCCGGTCGGCGTCTGGCACTCGGCAACTTTGCCGCACATGATCTCAGCAATACTGTTATCGTGCAAGAGAGTGTTTTGAGCGAAGGACATCACAACTGAAGTAGGATCCCGGAAACCCTCGCCTGGCCATGGCTGCGTCTAAGCAATCAGCAACCGCGGATCACAGACTGGAAATTGGGTATCGCCCCTTGATCAACGTGATCCCCTTTGCCGGTAAATACACAACCTGACAGTGGTGCTTACGCCACATACCTGCATAGACTGGAACCGAGATGGCATCAGTTAACTACTACGCTTCAAATCACATTGTTCCAGACGATATTCTCCGTTGTATGGTTGCTGCTTCCAATTCGTTGTAAACCAATACCATCACAGCAAACATGTCGGCGAAAACAAATGGTTTCGCTCAAGGGACAGTCCTAAAGGTCGCATACTCTATGCTTGGCCTGACAAGTTCCGTTGTCCTTACTAGAATCGTTCTCAACATCCTCAAACCAAGAAGACTAACAGCTTCTGACTACTTTGTTTTCATCGCTTTCGTTTTTCACGTTACCAAGTGCACCCTTTACGTTGCACTATCGCCCTACATGCAGAGGGTGTATGCTGTCTCAAATGGGGAAACAGAACCTTATCCAGAATTGTTGCATGACAGGATCTTGATGGCCAAGATGGTCTTCATTGCCTTCTGCATGTTCTGGGCAGTGTTGTGGTCGATCAAATTGTCTTTGCTCCTGCTCTATAGAAGACTACTGGTTGGTATCTCTCAACGCTACACCGTTGTGTGGTGGTGTATAGCTGGAATCTGCTTAGTAGTAAGTTACCTACAGCATCACCAACCCAGCTTTCGAAACCTTCACGTATGACACAGCTGATATCTGAGACAGACTTTCGCTGGCAACTACTTCTTCTACTTCCAATCATGTGGGACTATACCCGGATTTTGGACAGGAGGATGTGTGAGTCTTTCTAGATACACAGTATGGAGAGGACTGCCTACTAATCTTGCTGCACTACAGACTGGTAAAGGTCCGCACAACACCCAACTCATCAGCCTTTACTACTCTTTCTCTGCAGATACATCGACAAACGTGATGAGTACGTCATGCCACTTTTTCTTCCAACTCAGGTATCGTCTTCTCACTAACGACTTGTGTAGTCATGGCACTTCCGATATGGCTCACATGGAATCTGCAGATGCCACGCAGCAAGAAGGTATCAATATTGTGTCTCTTTGCAACGGGTGTCATCTGCATTCTCTTCGCCTGTCTCCGAGTCACTCAGGTTGCGATCAACGCAGCAAAGCCTGAAGCTATAGGTCAACCACTCGATCCTACCTGGCTTGCTATCTGGGGTATGGTGGAATGCTCTATCGGTATGGCAAATTTCTATCCGGCTATTTATGTCAATGCTCATTTCTATCAGCCGTTATCATTGGCTGCTGCCCTGCGTTCGCCGTCCTCGTTAAAGCTTTGCGACCGAAGAACTCATACGATTCACGTGGCTACCGGAGGCAGACCAATAGCAACTCGGATAAGAAAAGAGTGAGCAAATTGGAGCTCAATACAATTGGGTGTAAAAGAGACCTGGATAAAGGTCTTGGCCTAGATACGACTGACTTGCACTGGGCCGATGTGCATAGTAGTCAGGAAGAACTAAGAGCGAAGCATGACGGCATCCTGGTTTCGACCACAGTGATTCACGAACAAGACTCTATAGATGCTTTTGAAAGAGCATAGTAATACCTATGAGTTTGCGCATGTACGTCACCCCCAACTACTCGATGCCGGGATCACCCCATGAATTCTGCGTACCTATGGGCCTGGTCTGATTGTTGCGGGTCTGAGGCTATGTCGCTTCGTACATCGCATCCTCCATGTACGAAGTACCTAGGTACATGGACGAGGGGTGCACCAACATCCAATCGGAAGCGGGGAGACAAGCCACCCGAGAACGCGTAACACTAATCACCACGTTCTCATCACCACTAGGCTTTGCAGCAGTCTTATGATCGGTGTTCCGAGAGCCCGTCGAGAGCTCTGGTAGTATTCTAATGTGATTGTTGCTCTGCAGGTTCCCATGGTGGAACCCTCAGCCACAGGTATTTTCTAAATTTAGTCGGCGGAAAGCACCTCCCATCTCTTGGCAATACCAGAACCCACTGAATACAGTCATCATCTAGGGCATCCAATGACAATGGTGGTAGCAGCGGTGAGACGAGAAATAGTCGGTTTAGGATTTGTGCCTAGCAGTGTTCAATGATATAACCGATTGCGTGGTACCATTTCCCCCCTCTCTCTCCATCTCTGCCGTCCCCACTCATACTTCTCAGCCTTATCTTTCCAGCATCTATCCTTTCATCCCACACTCTCTCGCAAAACTGCCAACATCATCCGTTATCGTGTTTTCTGGAAACAAAAGGAGCGACCATTTGGAGTGATTTCTGTGGTTCCACAAGATGACATTCGAGAACGAAAGGGCAGATCTCGAACAGGGACATCAGTTACAGGACTTAGATCCCATGTCGGATGTAAGTAGTCCCGATACTCCATTCCTGCAAGAATAGGAATCGTAGTTGCTAATAATCGAGGCTCAGTATCATCCAACCCAGTACCACCCTAACAGCGAACAAGAAGAGGCCGCTCAACACCTTCTCAATGACTCACTTATCCCTACCAACGACTACTCACAACGTCAGAGTGCGACTCAATCATCAGTGTATAGCCTTACGGAAACCTACAGCGCAATACATCCCCCGACCACCGCAGCGCCGGCTTATGACAATTTCGAACAGAACAGAGCTTACGACGCTGGTAAGAACTGTTCCTGTACGAACCACATGTGAGATTTGAACTGACTTCGTACGTTTAGATATAGGTAGCTATGTACAATCCGAAGACGACTGGGTTCAAAGGCAACAAAATCCACCCACCATGCCTGTTGGTATTGGCGTGAAACGTTCGAAGACACGTAAAGTCAAGTTGATTCAAGGCTCTGTTCTTAGCATCGACTATCCTGTCCCCAGCGCGGTTCAAAATGCCATCGAACCTCGCTATCGTAACGCTGAAGGAGCGTATGAAGAAGAGTTTACACAGATGCGGTATACTGCAGCGACTGTAGATCCAGACGCATTCACGCTGTCCAATGGGTATAACCTACGCCCAAGAATGTACAATCGCCACACGGAGCTACTCATCGCAATCACGTACTACAACGAAGATAAGGGGCTGCTTGCTAGAACACTTCACGGAACTATGAAGAATATCCGGGATATTGCCAACCTGAAGAAGTCAAAATTCTGGGATGTCGGCGGTCCTGCTTGGCAAAAGATTGTCGTTTGTCTAGTCTTTGACGGAATTGACGTTGTCGATCAGGAAGTCTTCGACGTTCTCGCAACCGTCGGAATCTATCAGGATGGAGTGCTCAAAAAGGACGTCAACGGTAAACCCACAGTTGCGCACATCTTCGAATACACAAGTCAAATATCCGTCACCCCTGACCAACAGCTCGTTCGACCTGCTAACGATGGGGGCACTGCAAATCTACCGCCTGTACAATTCATCTTTTGTCTTAAGCAAAACAACAGCAAGAAGATCAATTCCCATCGCTGGCTCTTCAATGCCTTTGGCCGTATACTGAATCCAGAGGTTACGATCCTCATCGACGCCGGCACCAAACCAGGGCCACGCTCACTTCTTTCGCTGTGGGAAGCCTTCTACAACGATAAGGACCTTGGAGGCGCCTGCGGTGAGATTCATGCCATGTTGGAGGGCGGTAAGGCATTGCTAAATCCGCTCGTCGCGATCCAGAACTTCGAGTACAAGATTTCCAATATCCTTGACAAGCCTCTGGAGAGCTCCTTTGGCTATGTTAGTGTGCTTCCAGGCGCATTCTCAGCATATCGCTTCCGGGCTATAATGGGTCGCCCACTAGAACAATATTTCCATGGTGATCACACGCTCTCGAAAAAGCTGGGCAAGAAAGGCATTGATGGCATGAATATATTCAAGAAGAACATGTTTTTGGCAGAAGATCGCATCCTGTGCTTCGAGTTGGTCGCAAAAGCAGGGTCGAAGTGGTATATCTCACCCACTCCCTACGAAAGACAGACATCTAACTTCGCATCTTCACAGGCATCTCTCGTACGTTAAAGCATCAAAAGGTGAAACCGATGTCCCGAACTCAGCAGCTGAGTTTATTGGCCAACGTCGGCGATGGCTCAATGGATCGTTTGCTGCATCCCTCTACGCTATCATGCATTTTGGGCGGCTCTATGGCTCAGGGCATGGGATTATCCGTCTCTTTTTCCTTCACATCCAGCTGATCTACAACATTGCCCAGACCATTTTCACTTGGTTCTCTCTCGCATCATACTACCTTACCACCGTCATCATCATGAACCTCGTCGGCACACCGGAGCCTTTGCTTGATTATCACGGCTGGCCATTTGGCGACAAAGTAACGCCGATCTTTAACCACATCATAGGATATATCTATGTGGCTTTCCTCATCCTGCAATTCATTCTTGCGCTGGGTAACAGACCGAAAGGATCTCGTCATAGCTACATGGCCTCGTTCATTGTTTTCGGCGTCATCCAAGGCTACATCCTCATCCTGACCATTTATCTGGTCTATCGCGCCTTCAGCTCAAAGCCAATCGGCGAACAAATATCCTTTGATTCAGGCAAGGCATTCTTCGAAAGCTTCTTTGGTGGCAGCACAGGCGTTGCGGGGTTGATCCTCCTCGCACTAATAACCATCTACGGTTTGAACTTCCTCGCGTCCTTTATTTATCTCGACCCTTGGCACATGTTTCATTCATTTCCACAGTACTTGTTTCTCATGTCGACTTACATCAATGTACTGATGGTGTATGCGTTCAACAATTGGCATGACGTTTCCTGGGGCACAAAAGGTTCCGACAAAGGTGACTCGTTGCCAAGTGCAAACATTATCAAAGGCAAAGGCGACGTCATGGTTGAGGAAGTGGAGCAGGAGCAAGAAGATATCGACAGTCGCTTCGAGAAAGTTGTTCATAGGGCACTTGCACCGATGGCAAAGACGGGTGACGATAAGCCAGCGAAGAAGGATACCGATGATTCCTACCGGTCGTTCCGTACTGGCTTGGTCTACTCGTGGCTACTGTCGAATCTCGCACTCTGTGTGGTAGTCACGAGTGACGATTTTGCCACTATTGGCGTTGGTGTAAGTAGCAGTGAAGAATTCAACATTGTGCACTCTCGCTGATTTATGTCATTAGGAAGCCTCACAAACCCGTACACCGATATACTTCCGCATTCTATTGTACGCCACTGCGATACTTTCTATCATCAGATTCATTGGCTTTTTGTGGTTCATCGGACGGACGAGTATCATCTGCTGCATAGCTAAAAGGTAGTTGTAGACTTGCAAAATAGCAGCTGAATTGTATGTTTTGTTTCATTAGTACTTTAAACGCTCTTAAGCTACGATCGCAGGGCTCCGCGGTGTAATCGGTGACGTCACAGACCTTCATTGGGGCGCGCAAAGCACGGCATTCCATCGAGCAATCGCAATCTTGCCGCGAAATACGCTTTTGGCATGTCTTGAGCCCAAATGGTCATGATTAACCCTAGGGGGAAAGGATCGAAGCAGGGAAAACACGGGATGCGACCAGATGTGGTGGGGTTTGGAGATCATGATCGCTCCGGGTAGCATGGATTCTTCAGATCAACGCATCCACCCAAACATTGGGAAATCCCAATGCTGTGATGAAGTGACTCCATAGTGACAAAAAATTAATACGGCGTTGCTAGTGTTTAGCGCACGTTTTGATCAGCCGCAACGGTGTTTAAGTGCAGATTTCCAATCTAGCGGTGCGTGCCTCTGATCGCCACTGATGCATGTGGCTTGCCGTCGCTAGTGCGTGCATGACGTAAAGGGCGATTGCGGCCCTACGCGTCTTTCTTGTTGGTATGGAAGCGAATATCTTGCAAGGCTACCGTTCTCTTTACAACACTTGAACTCCTATACCTTTGTACCTACGCCTAACTGACGCTCACCACTGAACGTCGATATGTCGACCGGAGGCGTGGTCTACAAAGACCTACTACCCATCCCGGATACGGATCCTACAGAACATGAGGGGAAGTCTACTACACTACGCAATGCACCGACAGAGAGCCACGCGCTAGCTCTAGATGCTGCGAAGTCAGCGCCTCCAGAAGAAAAAGGTGCAGCGCAAATAGCCCATGGAGATGAGGTTGTCGACCTAGGATGGAACGAGCCAAAGGAACTTGTCGCGAAGCCACTCGTCGGGGGTTTGGGCAACGAGGATCTGTGGTTGTTGGTCCGCCGATTCAACAAAGTGAGGGCACGTATAAGTTAACGCTACACTTCTATACTGATCTCATGCAGCAAATGTACCATGTCAAGGAGATTCCAACAGCGCCCCCTGGGGGCTTGGACATGAACATCGCCGATGAGGAGGAATTTTCGCCAGACAAGCTCCGTGCAAATATTGAACGGTTGTACATGACCATCGTAAGCACCTCAAGAGTCAACTACGAATGCCGTCAATTTAACTGTTTGTAGGGCATTGGTCTAATGGGATTCGGCAAGCACATCGTTCGCATCCGCTCATGGAGGGAGAGTCGTCGCACTGCATGGTTCTGCTCCGCATATTTTGCTGCCTGGTTCCTCGACATGATTATGCCACTGATAGCGGTAACATTAGTTACACTAATTGTATACCCGCCAGCTCGAGACACAATGTTTCCGCCAGCACCTATCGCCCTCGTCAGCTCCAAAGGAGGTGTGCAAAAACCTAAGTCTGGAACTCTGGGCAGTACCGATAGTGCTACAGGGGCGCCTGAGAACCACAAAGGTGAGGCTGTCGAGCAAGAGGCTTCGAACTTCGTCAACGGTTTCGCGACGATCGCGCTATCGAGTGCGACCGGGAAACACCCCCAGGGAGAGCCTCCCGACGAAGACTCTCCTGATAGCAGTGTGCCGGATCCTACCAGAATCGCTATCAGTGCTGCGGACGCAAAGGATCAAGCTGCCGGTGTCAAATCAGACAAGCGCCACGACAAGACCAAGGTTCCGATGGAGACTGCCATGTGGACAAAGATGAGGCCTATCATGCACGGAATCGCAGACGTCACTGATACGTGGGAGCGATTCGCGAAGTAAGCAAGCACCTGCTAGATTTTATATCTACTTACTAATGCCACTACAGCATGCTTGAACCAACCTCTCCGTTTCCAAAAGACAAGTTTCATCTTCGACTCGCCGCAGTGGTGGCACCGCTCGTTCTTGTCTCATTATTTGTAACCTCGTACATGTTCATGAAAGGTGTCACCTTTAGCATTGGCTTTGGCTTTTTTGGCGATCCTGTCATCCAACGAGGTCTGGCACTCCTGAACAGAAAATTCCCTAATTGGCAGAAACTACTTGAGCTCCGTAACACGCTGCTCAAGGGCGTGCCAACGAATGCCCAACTGACCGTCACCCTCCTGAGAATCGGCGAAGCAAACAAAGCCCCACTCCCACCACCCCCTCATGTTGCACAACCGCCACCAGAGAAGCCTGTAGATATCAACGAAGAGGAGCTGCGCGCTACAGGTGCCGATTGGCCACTCAATGCAACACAAGAAGAGCTCGACGAAGCCATGGCACACGATCCTACCACTGCGCACGAGACTGGCGGTGAGGATATCGATAATGCCAAGGACAGTAAGCACGGCAAGAAAGGAACTAAGATCCTCAACTTCTTCCGTGGCACCGTCAAAGGTGGCGTTGAAACCACGATGACAGCCGACAAGGTCAAGGCCGCCGCCGGTTCCACTCATGCCAAAAACAGATTGGGTGCGGTACCACCCAAGGGAGTGGATCTCACATCCGGTCCTGTTGAGTTCAAAGCCCGTCATGATGGCAAGCGAGGCCATGTTTACATCACTACGAAGTCAACAATTCCATGCATCGCCTTTTCCACGGATAAAACCATCGAAAAGATTGGTAGCGCAGACAGAGAGGATCTACATCCGTCATGGAGTCTTCCTGTTGGCGAAATTATGGAAATGAAGAAGGTGGGTGGCTTCGGCTGGAAAGCAAAGTTGGTAGTTGGCTGGGCTATGGGACGTGAGGTTGCTGATGGCTTGATCGTTATTGACCGGCAGCTCAACGAATACCGTATAACAGCACTTCCGTTGAGAGATGAGCTGTTCAATCGGTTGGTAGCGATGGGTGGTCAAAAGTGGGAGTGCTGGTAGTGATTCGACACCGTTGCGAAGTTTCCGGGGGTTGATATCAGGAGACACGACTCTGTTGGTGCATTGTCGGTATCAAGGGTTCTGGATGTTGTCGAAACACAAATGGATCTGATTAGGGATGGACATGTCCATTCATAATAGTTCTTTAATATGACTACCACTGATTTTGAAATAATCTGGTTGAGGGCGATGGTCACAAAGACAAAGCTTAATTGATCAAGCATGAATATGGATTTCTAGAAGTGAACTACCCAACTCAAACTTCCTGTAAGGAATACATCCCCACTGACTGTGATCAAGCACTGCACGTGTTGTCTATCCTGCCGTGACTTTCCTTGTCCTCCATCCCTCATTACACCACTTCCAATACCCCGAGATCATCCAAGCCTCAACCGATCAAGAAACACACGCTACGCCTCATTTGTATCCATCTCGTCATCAACATCTTCCTCTGTAGCCGCAGCTATAGTGGTTTTGTCGTAGGAACCATAGGTTCGGGCCTCAGCCAATGCCAACTCATGCTTCATCTGTAAGTTACTGCCGTTCGCGTTTAAGCCCTTGGCGCGACACATCTTCTTGAGGTCGTTCTGGCTGTACTCGTCATCCGCGTCCATAAGTGCTTGCACAAAACTAGCCTTGTTCTTCTTCCTCGGAAGATCTATACCGCGCTCCTCGCAGATCTTCTTCAAATCGTAGACCGAGAGGTAAGAGCGTGGGTCGGGGGTCTCGGAAGGCACCTTCTTGGCGTTGGTGGGAGTAAGAGGAACATTCTTGTTTGCGACGGGCTTCTTGGTCTCTCGGACTTTCTTCTGATTCTTCAGCTGGGCATTGCGCCGAGATTTGGCATTGACGTTCTCTATGGCTCGAGCAGCGCGAATTTGGGCTTGGGCAGCACGGGTCATCGCGCGATGAGCCTTTTCCGATTCTTTGTTAGCACGCTTATTGGCGATATCCTCAGCCTTTTGAGCGTTCCGGAATCTAGTTTCGTTCTTAGCTTTAGCTTCAGCAGCTGCTAGGGCGTCCTGCTTGGCCTTCTCTTCGTTGCGGGTCTTCTCGCGAGTCATACGGAAGTTTTCCATTTCTGCACGACGGGCATCAGGATCATCATCTACCTCTGTGGGAATACGAGCAGTGCCTTCAATGATGGCATTGTAGCGCTCACGACAGGCGAGAGCAGAGAAGAGGGCGTCTTTGTTAAGCCGGCGCATGTACTCGGAGACTTTGCGGAAGCGCCAGGCACGGATACGTTCAATCTCGTAGTTGATCTCGATGTCTGCAAGAGCATGAGCTTGAATTAGTAGTTCGTCCTAAACATCTGCATTAACGGAGTCACAAGGTGAAAGTCGATTCGGGAAGAACTTACATCGGCGTAATCCCATTCCTTGTAGCCTTCCTTCAAAAGGAAGTCAACATTGTCAGCCTGTGCAAGGCGAATGCGCATGATGCGCGTAGAGATGGACTTCTGATCGTAGCGAACACGACCATCCTTAGCAAGCTTGTCGGCAATCTGGCGGTCACTGAAGCCCTTCTCACGCATCTGCATCATTAGTTCGTCATCAGAATCTAGTTCATGAGAGACACGCTTGTGGTATGCTGGAAGACTCTCTCCCTTCCGACGGTTATGACGGCCGAAGGTACCAGGAACGCGGGAAGGCTGTTGGTATGAGAAATCGTTATCCTCGTCTAGAATGAAGGCCTCTACATTGTCGATCTGAGCGCCGATGATAGAGCGTTGGAGGGAAGTGGTAGTCTTGGAGGAACCATCAAGTCGGGAGCGCTTGCGCTTCTGACCGGCGATGTCATCGTCATATTCTAGATCGGAGTCATCTGCCACATCCTCATATTGGAAGATACCAAGATCGTCGAAGCCGTCGAGCTTGAAGTCACCGTCGTCGGACTGTCTGAGATTAGCTATAATTTGGTAGTCAAACCCTTTGCTTACATCGTCAGCCGCTTGGGCAGTGTCGTCAACGAGGTCATCATCGTCCAAGTCTTCCTCAAAGTTGCTATGACCCAGCGGCTTGTCGCCTATAATATCGCGTCAGTAAGAGGCGTCGACAAGGCAAATACCAAAGTAGTTACCGTCGAAGATCAGAGCCTCGTCAGTCATGTTGTTGGCTGTAGCGCTAGGTACGACCGTGATAAGTATAATATTGATACCGTGAAGTGGGGTATGGCGACTAACATGTGACTGCGTGTGTTAAGTTGAGACTTCGGATCACCGCGTGGTAGTCTATTAGGCAAATGATGAGTGTGTGCGTCAGCAGGCTGTAGTTGCCGAAGGTAAAGGCGGATAGCCAAATTGCAACTCTGTTTGGTCGATGGCTTCAATGAGGCTAGCGTAGCTGTTGAGGACTGACTGAACTGGTATTGAGTTACTCCGAAATTGTAGTGGCAGTCGAGTGGGGTGGAAGAGAGACGGAGGAATCGAGTGAAATATCGTTTATACAGCGAAGGGGGTGTTAGCGGCAACAGGACGTACGCGGTCTGAATTACCCCTCGTCGGCTACATGTAAGAGAGAGAAAAGGTGGTAAGTGTTCGATCCTGAAATCTGGTAGCCATTTTGATCAGGGCTTGAATAGATGCTGACTGCCCTTGTAAGGTTATGTGATGTCCTCCAAGGTTCAGATGTTATGGCTTTGGAGTGATCAGGGAGCAAGCTGAAGTGGAAGGTCGTCAGCGCCAACAGTCCTACCTTTCGAGCGACATCCACCATCAAGATTACCTGCGACCGGTATTCCCATATGGAACATCATCGGGCCAACGAGATGAGCATGGTCCTAGTATAGTGTATAACCCAGATCCTCGCCTTTGACAGGACAATGGATGCCAAGTCTATCACGAAGAAGCAAAACATGGTATCTCTTACGAAGGAAAATAAGGTATGATCATCAGCTCGAAGAATGCCTAGTCTTCGTCACGCTCAAATACCCTAATAGACACTGCTCATTCTTGACGTTGCCTGCCAGCGGACTGAAGTCAGCTCAGAGACGATTGATTCGCTGGTAACAGCTCTTGTGTAAGCCAAGGCAATACAATGCAGCCACCTAAGCCCGGCTCCAAAGAACTGCTCATTGCATGTTAAGCCAGAATTGAAAAGCGTGTGGAAGATGACCGATAGCTGACCCTGTACATTAAGACGAGCGAGAAACAGAAGAGAGCAAATGTTTGTGTTACGGGAATGACACAGGAAGTATCAAGCATATATAGAGCGTCTGAGGTCTTCTGGATTAATAGTGACAATGAAGCGGAAAGCCCAGTGTGGGAGGCTGGTGATTCGCCGACGTCGTTCCGTGAGAGGTCAATGGGGTAGAATAACCAGAACTGGCAGCGACCGGAAGCTTTGGAGAGGGACGCGAATATTGGGTAGTTCCGGACCTGTGGACGCAGGTTGGTCATGATTTCATTACGCGAGCTCTTGTAATGGTTGTGGAGTTCAGGAGTGTCGGAGTTGTCGCGCTTGTCGCCCCTCAAAGGGTGGCGCGAGCTCTAGAACGGCACCCCTGCCTATGACGTAACGCCTGTAAACGCGGGACGTCAATCAGGGCTTCTACCGCGCCCACGACGACATGTTGAGTGCTGCCGAGCCTTGAAGATCGTCGGCAAGAAGTTCACATCATATATAACCTAAATCACATATCCTGCAACCGCCCATTCCAAAGCACGACCTCCTGGTGTTCCCATTTCCTGCCGACATTCACCATGGCATCCTATCTGGAGAAGATGCGCCGACAGTCAAAGCAGCTGTTCCCTCAAAACAAACAGAAACCCGGCGCACCACCTATCGAAGACCCCCCCAAAATCTCAGAATCTGCCATACCCAAAGTAGAGGACGCCGCTGTTCCCAAGATCGAAGAACCCGCCGCCGGACCAAGTGGCCCCGTACCCTCCCCACCAGCACCAGCTGTCGCTGATGCCAGCGAAGAAGTAGGCAGCGACCCCGTCCTAGACGCCGAAGACCAAAGATTTCTTGAGCGACTTGCCGCCATCGCTTCGGAGCCCGAGGGCACTCCCCCGCCCCTCCCTCAGCGTACCGAAGTTGTCGATGGCAATGGCGAGAAAAAGGTCGGCAGAGATGCACAGACGGCGCTCCTAGATAATGCAGACAAAGTGCCACTTCCCATGAGCCCGCCTGCGACGACTGCTGACACTAGCGAAAAGGGCAAAGGGAAGGTTGCGGAGGGTGGGCTAGGCAGAAAAAAGAGTGTCATGTCCTACTTCCAGCTTCCCAAGTTTAACAAGAAAGATGGAGAAAAGGCATCAAAGGACAAGAAAATAGTGGTCACGGACAAGGACAGATCTCAATTCGCAGACGACCTCCTCGCTGCCGCCGAATCCGCCAAGGCTGCCGAGCTGACCGATGCGCAGAAACAGGACAAGGAATTGACTGATATACTGGATCAACTCAATCTCTCAGCTGTCAACAATCGTGTCTTCAGCTTTAGCAAGGAGTCGGAAGAGCTCCTCAACAAGTTTACCCAAGTTCTCAAAGATCTCATCAACGGAGTACCAACCGCCTATAACGACCTCGAGAAGCTCTTTACAGACTACGACAATCAACTCAAGAAGATGTACGGCAACCTTCCTCCTTTCCTACAGAACCTGGTCAAGAGCTTGCCGGCCAAGCTCACGGCAACTCTCGGTCCAGAGCTCATGGCTGCATCGGCGGAGAAGCCCGGCTTCGATGCACAGGCAGCTTCCGGATCCAGCCAGCCCAAAAGCAAGAGATCTATGCTTCCGAAAGTACCGAGTTTGAAGTCGCTAGTGTCTGCGCAAGGTGCCGTCGCGACGGCGCTGAGAAGTATTGTGAACTTCCTAAAGTTCAGGTTTCCTGCTCTGGCAACTGGAACTAACGTCATCATGAGTTTGGCAGTCTTCGGTACGTACTTTGTGTCTATGTCGTTGTTGAATTGAGCTAACCTAATTAGTACTGCTATTCGTGTTCTGGTACTGCCACAAGCGTGGTCGCGAGACTCGTCTCGAGAAGGAGCGTCTCGCCGCTGAAGAAGGACAAGCCGGGCGTATTAGCAGCGCTTCATCCACCAACGAGGACACCGACTCCATCTTTGGTGATCAGTCAAAGGCCAAGACAAGGGATGGCGGGAAGATAACGCCTGCTTCTCCACCGCAAGAGCCACTCATCATAAGAGATAGCAAAGAGAAGGGAGAGCAATCTGCAGCGGTGGCTGATCTTCCTAGTGTGTCGCATCTTCCCGATCCAACGTCGGGACAGGTTCCTAAGACGGCCACCCCACCTCCTGACCACAAGTAGGCTTTGTAACACAGCAGCGACGGAGGCAAGGTAGGTTTTTGGTTCAGATTGATATCCCCTATGCGTATACCCTGGCTTAGAGCAATACATTAATTGAACAATGCATCACGATAACACCAATTCTCTATACAACAGTGTTCTGTACGATCCTTGGGTATTACATATCTATGCCTTGCCAACAATAGCGTTAAGCGTATAAGCTCCACCACTCACCTTTCAGACATCCCCTTGCTCACTAAGGTTTTCTTGCGTGTATTACCACGACTTCGAAATACGCGTGTACTTTCCTCTCCTTGACTCCAGCCCTGAACTTGGCAAAGAAAATTTGAGCTTCTTGCACTGACCAGCCCATGACCTTTGTCAGCAGATACAATCCCCATCCCTCAGCTCCCTGAGTAATATGCAACAAATTCCATCTTCCCAACTCCTTCATATGAGGATCCGCCGGCCATCCGTTGACAGGGACTTTGTACACTCTTTCCTCAACGTCTACAAATCCCGCGTTACGTATGTACGTCGATAGATTCCAAACCTCGTAGAAGGATTTCCCAAAACGCTCTGATGCCTCATGGAAGAGATCGCTCCAAGTAGACAAGACGTGATCTTTCGTTAGTGTGCCATCGTCGGATTTGAATTGGATGCTCATTTCCAGTTCGTGGAGGTAGCCGCCTGATTCGAGATTGTTATAGCATTGCGTGTAGAGCGCGGGCCAATCGCCGATCGAGCCATACAGGGAGCGGATGTTGATGAAGTCAAAAGACTGCGAGTACGTCCATGGAAGAGTGACATCATCGATTTCAAACTTGCAGTTCGGAGGAGTGAACTGGGGTTGAATGGGAGAGAGGTCTACGCCAAGGATCTCGCCGCCAGGATATTCTACAGATGGAGTTAGTCATATTGTCAGGATAGGTGTGTTTTTGGAATCGTCTTTGGTAAAACAAGGGACTGGAAGAGACAAACCATCGGCCATGTCCATACACCAGATTCCCGTACCGCACCCTAGATCCAAGACCCTCTTCGGGTCTTTGATAGGCGCTAGATGTAGTTTCTGGTCAAGCAGAATGAGGAACATGTGGTGTGCAATATCGAGCTGGTCGTTCTGAATCTCGTCGTTGGGACCCCAATAATCGTTTTCGCCCTCACGATACTTATGGTATCGGCGTCCATTTTCGAAGCGTCCTTTGTGGATAGACGATGCGATGGATGTTGTATCAGTAATGGCATCATCGTCGCCCAGAGCCGAGTCTGTGTCATCTGTACTATCCTGCTAACGTTAGATGATGCTCGATGTAATGCTAAATAGCAAGGAGTAGTTTGTGGCGCTTGGATTTCGAGGAGATCGTCTGGCTGTAAAAAAAAGTCCTGGTATACTTACAACTAGAACAAGTGGATTCACGAGCTGAGCAGTTGGTGCGGGTCTTTGTACGGTCTCTGAAGGAAGTTCTGTTGAATTTGTTGATGCAGCAGGTGCTCGTTCTGAATCTTGTGGTGCGCCCGCCGAGGCAGAAGGATTTGTCGACGGTAGGGCAGGTGCAGCTGTTTCGGACTCGACGCCTGTGGAGCCGTCCCCAGCTGTGAGACTATCAATTGCCGGTGTTGCTGGCCCACCCTCTCTTTCTCTCTCTTTACCTTTCTTAAAGTCTGCCATCGCCCAGATTTTGTTCAATTTTGTCAATCGGCTTGAGTATGGCACCGAATGAAGACTGCCTGAGAAATACTCTTTGGCGCGTCAGTGCTGCTATAGGGACTGTTCAATGTCAAGGGTTAGTAGCCGCGACTGAGCCTCAATCGTGCAGTAACGGCCCGGGACGAACTGGGACAATCTGATAAGCGAACGTCTGTAAATGCTCCAACGCCTTGTGATGACTCTCAAAATGCAATTATGATGGATAGAGGAACAGCCAAATTCAGAATGAGGTTTTTTCGCAATTAGAAAATTGTCTGGAACGGCGGATGCTGTCAGCCAGAAAATGGCTGGGTGGAAGGACGGGCAAGATGACTCTCTCCGCAAAGCTAGAACAGAAGGGCTCTGACATCCGAAGTGCTGTATCCACCCAAATGTGCACACAGATCAGAAAACGTGGCTGTGGACCTAGATCGCGGGTGTCTCGTGCATATTGGACTTTCCGAGCTGCAACACGGTTTTTGGACCGGGGTTGTTTCCGCAGAGTGATCCGCTGTAGTGCAATCTAGACGGGGTGGCACGAAGTCAGTATACGTCTCACATGCAGTTCGTACATGGATACTTCCCCTCACGTCGCCCATCATCGGTTGACCACGGTAGCCATCAATGCGGGAAGCTTTGCTCTGAGAAGGACAAGGCTTGTCGCTGCAGTATAGTACTGCGGCGGTATTTCGCCAACTCGGCTTGTGCACTCATTCAGCAAGGGAACCCGGAAAATCAACAACACGACACTAGCGCCAGCAATTCTGACGTGCCATGGCGCTTGCAAACTACTCAGATTCTCACTACTCTCGATAAAGAATGGACATGGGTCCCAAATGTCGTCGTGGCTTCCGCCATAGCTGTCGTTTGCTGGCGGGGCGCACCTAGCTATTAGTAACTCACGGCTCTGGGTACCATGTCGCTGCATGCTCCGCATCTTTTCCAAGCAGCCAGTCAATTGTTGACCGATCAAACTGACCAACGATTATCGAATATAAGCCTGCAGCGGTGCGCTCTCTCCACTAGCTACATAGTACACAACGCCGCACGCGCCTTCAGTGAGGGATACCCCACTTGTAGGAACGACTTTCATGAGACCTGTTCATCGTCTGCGATCTTGAACCCTTGCCCTCTAGCTCCACTCCAAGCAAGCCATGGAAACCATTCCGTCCGAATCAGCTTTCGACAATGTCTCACGGCGCCTGTACGCCATCGCATTTGTCGCTGTGGCGTTCTTTGCTGTCGGCCGCATACGACAGTACTTGCGCCTGAGACATTTCGCCGGACCTAGGTAAGAGGCGTCCATGTGGCAATCGCAGGTGAGACATGGACTGACTTTGTACGCGCACCTTTTAGGACGACGGGATTCTCTTGGTTGTGGCATTCCAGAGCTGTTATCAGCGGCCAATCTCCTCGGTACTACGGCGAAGTGTGCGAGAAGTACGGTGCGTATCAGGAAGGGACGATTGCTACATGACCCGATGCTAATGCTTCTGTAGGGCCGATTGCTAGGGTTGCACCCAACCATCTCATAACATCGGACCCAGAATTTTGGGCACGGATCAATGCGGTGCGTTCACCATATGCGAGGTCATCTTGGTACTACCATTGTGCTCGATTCGAGACGGGAAAAGACAATGTCTTTACAGATTGCGACAATGATAGCCATGATGCAAGACGCAAGAAGATGACATCTGGGGTACGTGGATGACAACTTGAGTGATGAACCCGCCCACCCACTGCAATTACAAGCTGGATTAGTGGTTAGATTGCACACCATCTAACATGCTGCAGTACTCTGGTAAAGAGAACCCAACACTGGAGCCCTCAATTGATCTTCACGTCAAAGAACTTGTGGACTTGGTGCACAAGTATGCACTACCAACAGCATCAGTAGAACAATCTAAACCGATGGATCTAGCCGAGAAGATACCCTTCTTCACATTGGATGTTATCAGTCATGTTGGCCTTGGACAAGCATTTGGTGACCTGAAAGCCGACAAGGATCTCCAGAATTACCTGAAGTCGAGCGAAGAAGGTCTGAAAATTGGCAACACGGCCTTTGCAATGGGTATAGCCTGGCTCAGAGATACGCCTATCATCGGACCTGCCATCAGTCCATCGGAAAAGGACGCCAATGGCTTCGGTAACATGATGGCTCAAGCACGAAAGATAGTCAACTCTAGGATGACGAAGTCAACTGATGACAAGTCTGATATGTTCGCGTCATTCGTTCGTCATGGTCTCTCTGGAAATGATCTCTGTAGGTGTCCCTGAAGGCTATGATCTGAGATGCCTGAGCATTGACTGACCACTCATGCTTAGTTCAAGAGGTGTTCGAGCAGATTCTCGCTGGCTCCGACACTACGGCTGCTGCTATCCGGGCTATCCTGCTCTATGTCATGAGCCATCCACGTGTGTATGCGAAGCTCCAGGCCGAGATAGATGAGTCAGTCAAGGCTGGTACGGCGCCTGCATCTCCCGGTATCATCTCCGATGCAGAAGTGCGCCGACTGCCGTATCTGGGAGCTGTTGTTCGGGAAGGGATGCGGGTAAGTCTGATTCTCTTTCCACTAGCATTAGCCATTGTGTCAACATGCGCTGACGATATGCTCTTAGATGCATCCGCCCGTCGCCAATCTCTTCTCAAAGGTTACGCCAGATGAAGGAGATGTCGTGACCATTAACAACAAGGAACACTTCATCCCCGGTGGGACTTTGGTAGGCTACTCGGCCTGGACAATGCATCGTAACAACCGCTCTCTTTACGGCGAGGATTGCGGCACATTTCGTCCCGAGCGCTGGCTCTTTGACACAAGCGATGCGGGCGAGAAGGCACGCTTAGCCCGGATGACAAAGACTAACGATATGATCTTTGGCTACGGTCGATGGCTCTGCTTGGGACGCAACGTTGCGTTGATCGAGATACACAAGTGCGTCTTTGAATTGTTGAGACACTTTGATCTATCATTGGCCAATCCATTGGAGCCGTGGAAGATATTCAACTCCCTCGGGCTCTGGGAGATCAAGGACATGTGGGTGAACGTTAGTGTGAGGGAATAGAGCTATTTGGACCTATGTTGAGGCATAAGAGAATCATGAAGACGAGAGACAGCACGTTGGATGCTTTCCAGACCGACTTGAGCAGTGGTGAATTGATGTTGCAATGATATTTGCTTTGCTGTGTCGTGACAGCAACCTTGATGCGCAAAGTGCCGATGGGCCGTCCAATCGGCTGACGGGCACAGGGCGACGTACCAAGAATGGATACATGTGAGGCTCGATGCTTCGGCTCATGTATGGTAGCACTGACCAAAGGCATATTACTCATATCTCGAGGAAATTCACGACGTGCGCAGATGACGGACAAGCTGCACAGCAGCGCCGAAGGCCCGCGGCTGAAGTGATTCGGAACGTAGCAAGAGCTTGCTCCATATCAAGCCGACCATGGCAGCGACCTTCAGCCGCCATCACAACCTCGATGGCGTGTGTGCGTATAGTCACAGCAGCGCAATCGCGACCCCCCAGCCAGCGTACGATGGCTTTGCAGCGTCGCATCGCCATGGTGCAAGCCAACAGAGCAGCATGGCAGTGCAACAGGCGGCGAGTATGATCAGCCACGGCCAACAGCGCGAAGACAGCTACTCCCCAGACGACACGCCCAAAACCTGCTTTGTGGGCGGCCAGAACACAGTAGCACTGCCGCCGGGCAGCAACGAAGCGGCCGACAGTCAGTTTGCTATGCTCCCGCCCTCCAGCTCGGTCCACGCTTCATGGCAAGCACTGCACGACTATGCCCAGTCGCACGCCGCGCAGAACGGCTACGCCCTGTCCATCAATACCACGGCCAAGAACCGATCCCGCATCAAGCTCGCCTGTGTCTGCTATGGACAGCCCAAGAACACACACAAGCTCACCGCTGAGACGAGGGTCAGGAAGAACAGGGTCAGCTACAAGACGGGGTGCAAGATGTGGATCGAGGGCAGGAGACAGCACGACGGCACGTGGCTGCTGCGCGTGGGTGAAGCGCAACACAACCACCCTGGACGACAAAGCGCGGGATGGGCCGTACAGCGGAAGAGGACATGGGGAGTTGTTGGTGGGCGCATCGGCGTGGGAGGCGTCACGGCCAAGGAGGAGCTCGCCAGGTTGAGCCTCTCGGACATCAAGGACACTCTCGACGACGCGGATGCCGAAGCCGATGGCGACCCGCATGTGGAAAGCACGTCTGTACAGGCACCGAGGAAGCCACAACACAGTCTCGAACGTGGGGGTCTCGTGTGGAAGATAGTCGAACAAGAGATGCTTCGCAAGGGTGAACCAAACCAGGGCCGCGATCGAGGCGTTGGGAGGACTGTGGATGTCTTGCAAACGAGGCTGCCCGGTATCCACATCTTTAAGCGCGACGTATACAATATACGAGCGCAGATAAAGAGAGCGAGAAAGGCAGCCGGTCAACAAATCGGTGATGGCCTCAACAGCTCAGACGACGACGCTGAATCCGAAGCACACGACACCACCCAAAGTAGTACAACCGTCGTAAACCCACTCAACCACCCACGCATACAGCAACCGCCAAATACGTACCAGCAGCCCGCTGTTCACGCCCCCAGGCTCTCGGTACCCTTCCCACCCACTCGGAAAGACTTGCGAATTGATCCTACGCTCGGCGACCGTCCCCCGCCACCACCGCCATCAACGCCCCCCGAGGTGGTTGAAATGGAAGTCAATCAACTTAGGCGCGAGAATGCGGAATTGAAGCGACTACTCACGGAGAAGACGAAGGAGGTCAAAGAAAAGTCCATTGAGATGGCTGGGCTCAAGAGTCAAGTTGAGTTGCTGAGCAATATGATGATGACGAGCGGGAGGGGATTGATGGCTGGGTAGTAAATGGGCCGTTGATGAAACAAGACTTTAGATACCCAGTAGCTATACAGGAAGCAAGGAGGGCCATACAAGCATCCATACCATGAAGACGAGCAGACGACAATCAAGATCAGATACGTGATATGTATATATATAAACAATAAACTCAAAAATTGGGTAAACAAAAAGGCAAGAGGTATCTCAGAAAGGTATCCGTAAACACAACCCCCCAAAATAACCCTTGCAAACGCCCAACGTTGATGTCGTACTGGACAAGCCGTCTTATACAACAACGAAATTCCAACACCAAGAACACCATCGTAAGCTCATTGTCAGCTCATTATCCATCGCTCTCATCACGCATAGTATGCTTTACGCCTCCTCAGCCATCTCTTCGTCCTCATCCTCGGCAAGCATATCCTGCTCCTCACAGCTACGCTCCACCTCATCGGCAATGAACTGCTCGTACTCTTCCAAACTCTTTTGTACGTGAAGTTTGAAGCGCACAATGTCGTCAAGCATGCGCTCAATTTCCGTATGGAGTTCTTCACGGAGCGCATTAGCGCGTAGCTGAAGTTGTTCATACCTGGTATACACAGTTAGTCATCGTTCAGGGTCACCTGTACAAAAGTGCATGGGTCCAAAACTTACTCGATGTTGACAGCCATTTCTCTTTGCACCATTAGCTGCACGCTTTCTCCTAGTCCGCTGCGCATACGACCTAATTCTTTTTCCATGCGCTCAATCTGTGCGTCAGATTGACTCTTTTGCGTATTCGTAATCTCGCGTAGCTTCTCTAGCTCTTCTTCTGCTTGTGCTACGCGATGGCCTAGGGCTTCGACTTCTGCTTGCTTGTCGTCCATGGCTTCTTTGATTTTGTCTAAGAGGTCGTGGTTGTTCATGTCGGCTTCCAAAGCTTGATTGCGTCGTTCAGCAATCTCTTTGCGGAGTGCGATTATGTTGGCCTTGACTGTGCCGCGGAGGTCCAGGTTGAGAAGATGCGCGGGTGAGTACCCTGTGCCTGCATCGTGGAGAAGGCGATCTGATGCATCTTGCGACGAGCCACCCATTTGCGATCCTGAGAAGTTGGGACCGTCCGTGATGGTGAGGACAAGCTCGTAGTCTTGCCCCTTGGCGTTGACAGCTGTAGAGGGGATGACACCAATCTGATATCCTAGATTGTTGTATCGCTCAATGGTTTGTTCAAGTTCATCCAGTTTCCGAGACGCAGCGATTTCCTTTTCCGCAACCCGTTTCTTTGACTCTTCCAGTCGCACTGTTGTTGCCTGGAGAGAAGTATCAAGGCGGTCTCTCTCATTTGCCATGCGGTCAATATCCGCAATGGTCATGCCCCGACCGTCAATGATAGCTTGTAGCTCTTGCTGTTCCTTCTCTGATGCTTCAAGTTCTGCTTCAATCTCCTCAATCGACTTTTCCAGGAACGAGCAGCGATCAGTGTACTTCTTGACCTTTCCTTCCATGGAGTTGTTGTAGTTTTCAAACTTGACGCGGTCTTCTTCTAGGATGCGAATCTGCTCCTCGAGCTTCTGGATCCTAGGGCCAGACTTTCCTAGCTCTTCGATCTGGTCTTGGAGGTACTTGTGCTCGGCCTCTAAAAGGCTGACTTGCTCGTGATGCTGTGCATTTGCGGCATCAAACTTGGCAGCCATGGTCCTGATGTGAGGCTCCATATGCTTCTGCTGTGCTTCTTCGTCGTCGTCGTCATCTTCTGCTGATAGCCAAGTGCTGTAGGCATCCGACAAAAAGTCAAAGATAATGCGGTCTCCAGAGACATCGAAGCCGGCCTCAAAGCACGCATCGTCGTAGGTACCAGCCTCGTATGCTTGCATCAAACGCGCCAACTGCATCATCCAGTGCAACAGACCTAAGAAGGTGTACCAGTTGTTTCCACCAACAGCGGCGATCTGAGATTTCATGATGGACTTTTCAAAAGGGTAGCGCATCTGCTTCAATAGTACTGGCACCTCCTGGTCGATGGATTTCTGAAAGCGGTAGCTAGGGTCGATTCGGTTATAGAGCCATTGGAACATGCAGTTGAAGTCCTTTTGCGTGGGCGAAGTCATGGCTTTTGCTGAGAGAACGTGCTTGGACTCCATTTCAAAGTTGTTCTGTGTAAGATATTCGAGTAGCTCCTGCGCCATGTGCTGGCGGGTGCTTGCGTCTTTGAGTCGTCGGGGGTCCGTTGGAGGGACGGATGGCATGGGCGCCGTTTGGAAGAAAGACTGCTTTACGCCGGACTGTCCAGACACATGAGAAGTCCGCGACTTGAACACGCTGCTCCTCCGCTGTGCGCTCTGTTCGAAGTTGGGTCCTGAAGGCGGCGCAGGCGTTTGGAAGATGGAGGCGCCGGGCGCAAAACTCTTGCGCGCACTGCTCGCGCCGAAATTGCTTGTGGAGTTGCGGTGTACCGACTGGAAGCCCTGGGCGAGGTCTGTACCGGAGGATGAGCGTGGAAAGAGGGGCTGACTCGGACGGCCAGGCGCGAGGGACATTCTACTTCCGCTTTTCGATCGCGCGTGGTTGGGAGGGAATTGAGGCTGGTTCATGTTGTTGATAGAGCTTGAGCGCTTCATGGCTGAGGCTGGCATCGGAATTGCAGACGAGTTGTTGTTTACTGGTCCCAAAGTCTGCGCGTGTGATTAGGAGATGCGACAAGAGGGGGTAAGGCTGTGACATGGGGGAGNGGGGGGGGGGGGGGCTCACCTGACGGCGCACCGAGAACATTCCCGGGTCGGCCATGATATGTTATGTCGTCGCGATTGTGCTGCAATTGTTCGCCGTTATGCTACTTGGCAGTTGGCTACGGCTGTCGACCGGTTGCGATAAGGGTTGGTGTTGATGCACCCGTTCCCGCATATGCAATGTTTGTTGTGATCAGGGTTTCGCGCTAGCCCACCGCAGCAACGCGCGTGGTCCGCGCCACGTGGGGTACGTCTCCTGCCTTGTTGACGTCTGATTTAGATTCAACACAAGGCGCAGAGTCGTCTGTGGTAATAAGAATGTGTATTTATAGTGGCCGGCGGTATAAGACGCCACGGCCAAACATGCATCGTTGAAGTGAACGCTAGCAGAGTGTGATATGTAAAGCCAGAATAATAGAAGGTCACCAAACCCATCGTCGTCCCCAGTCGTCACAAGATGTCATCTCGGACGCACTCATACGTGCCACTTCATCGCTATACTGTATCGACTGGGGTATCGTTGTGCACATGCAAGCCAAAAAAAAATAACGATGCCACAGCTTTTCAAAACTCCAACCTGTGGCCCATGAAAGGTATAACGATAAGGACATTAAACTCGAAACCCATTAGAAATGCATCATGAACATGCCCCCATTACTAATGCCATGCCTCCTCCCTTCTACCACCTTGTCGACTTTGGCACGTCGGGCTTTCCGATGTTTTTGAACATGTCGTCGGCGCCGAGACTCAGCGTGTCTTCGTTGACACCAAAGGAGCTGAGGCCGGGCAGGGCTGGGGGCGGCGGACCCTTGGGCTTGGGTGCCTGCGCGGCGGGTACGGACGGTTGAGAGACGGTGCGAGCATTCGAGTAGGTTGTCGGGTCTGCGTGTCCCTCTGGCACTGACCCAACGGCGAACGTCTTTCGCTTGCCGAACCAGCTGCCGCTCTTCCGCCTGTTCAGACTCGGTGCCTGGCTGTTTATTGTGGCTGGCGAGCCTGGCCTCTCCGACTTCAGACTGTCGTTTGACGATAGTGTGCGAATGCCGAGGAACTTGCGGACGGAGGCAGGCCGCTTGTTCGAAGGGCTCGTGGGCGACATGGTGCTGGTTGCATCGCTAGTGCGGGTCTGCTGCAGTTGCGGGCTGGCCGTCGAGTCCTCGGACGCTTTGCCTGGGGGCGGCGACTCTGTTTGCGGCGGCGAGCCGGGTGACTTTGGGGTGGGGTGCGACGACAGCGGACCTTTGCCGGGCGTGGGAGGACGGGGTGAGTCGGGCGGGCTGTCGAGCGGCGCAGGTATCGAAGTGCCCTCGGTCAGAGAGAAGTTGATGGGCGCAAGCGTCAGTGGCTTGAAAGAGAACTTGTTGGAGCCCATTGCGATGTCTTGTTTACACGCTCGTGTGGCAGATTGCGATGTGTCGAGGCAATTGAGGGCTGGGAGCGACGCGGCAATAGATGAGAGAGGGTCGCAGAAGCCGCAGGCGGGTGCAAGCTCAGGAGGTGCTTTCGTGAAGCGGAGGACGGGCCAGGGATTACACGACGGTTAGCAGGGATCAGCGCCTTGCACGACACGAGAGGCGCAGCGGATGCGGCGGGTCAGCCTCGAACCTTCCCCAGAACCCCAGCCCGTCCTGTCCCTCAAACACACGGAAAAAACAAGACGCTCACGAAACACACGCGCGTCAAAAAACCGTCGTGCAGCTGCGAGTGAAGGCGTGCCTTTTCCGCGTCACCCACCGCCTTCTAGCGCGACTGTGTACCAGAGAATGCTGTGGGTCGCCCGCCCGAGTCAGCGTCAGGGTCAGGGCATACTGCAGAAGAGCCGTTCCGAGCGCACATCGTCCATGTCGCCATCTGCCTCCGCATATCTATTTATTCGCACCCTTCATCAATCCTCTTCAACGGCTATCTAGGCGCCCGTCGCTTCCCTCGCCGACACGCATCAAGCACATGCTGTACCCATATGCCCTGCAAAAGTCAATCTGCCGCCCAACCTGCCTTCCCCTATTGCCGTAGCTTCCCGAGCATTCTGATGTCATTGCCATGCACAACCTGATCATGCACGTCTTCATCTGGTCTTGCGCTGGTGCACCTCGTCCAATTCGGTAATCTCATCGAGCAGCTGGCACGTCTCTTGCGGATTCGCGATCCACGCCGTCGTACACGCCAATCGCGCCTTGAAGTCGTTTGCTCCAGCACTCAAGAACTGGTCTCCTACATGCAGCGTTTTGCTCCCTTCAATCCCCCCAAAGATTCGCTGGCAGGCTAGAACACCCCATGACTTGTCTCCAATGTCGACAAACACGTCGTTGCCACCGTTGAAGGCGCAGAATGGGAGGCGCTGGCCGACTTCAGATATTTCCTAGCAAAGTTAGTATCGTAAACATTGCGCATCCATTCAAGACTTACAAGTATCTTCTGCACGATCAAAACCGTCTCTTCGAGCGTCTCGCGGCAGAACTTGTGCCCGCCTTTGGGTACAATGCCCACTGCTCTTTCCTTCCGGACGATATCTGCCTCCATACGGAAGTTCCTAACTGTGTCCCTCAGAGACGCTTCTGCCAGATCAAGCAGGTCTTTGATATCCGATTCGTGCCACGAGAGCATCTCCTTGAGCAGCCATTCCTCTCTGGGAATCAGGCGCAGCAGGACTGGACTGTTCTCGTCGAATTTGAAGCAAAAGTTGCTCTCGCCGCCCATGATGATGAGATTCTGCCGAGCTTCCAGGGGCAGGTCGGAAGCCTGGATAGCGTCCAAGAGTCCATACAGTCTGCCGTAGTAAGGTTTTGCCTCTGTATACCCCGCAGCTGTAACGATGCCGATCTTTGATCCGCGGCGCATGAGATCCAGTATCTTCGGAATGATGGGATTGTCCTCTGTCAAGTCCTTGCCATCGTCATACAACGTGACATCTCCATCAAAGGTCACGAGTTCAAGTGGGCCATTACGGATGAGACTCATCACTTGAGCTGTATTGAGAACTAGACGCACGTCGTTGAAAGAAGGCGGGACGAATCGTCGGTGGCTGATGAAACGCCTTTGATCTTGCCAGATGAAAGCGTCGTGCAGCGCTAGGGACGTGAAGAAATTCGCTACTGTTGGAACGAGAAGCTTCAGCTTCGATCTGTCAGGTTTGCCGTCCTTCTGGTGTTGAACTGCATTGGGTTAGCCCCGAAAGTCTGTCGCAGGCCGTATGAGCCCGCCTGAGGTCACAGCATACTGTGGTCGTTGATGATTTCCTCAACGTCGCGTAGGATCTCTGCATACCGCCGTTGGGCAATGCTCGCTTGGTGCTCGACTGACTCGTCATTGGGCTCGAACACCGCCGTGGGATGCGAGTGCAAGACAAAAGGTACAGCTAGAAGGCCCTGAAATGGCATTAGACGTTGTCCAGCATCGTCTTTGAAGTTGCTAGAGCAATACCTTAATCCACTCTATCTGTATCATGCATTAGCCGGACATGTCAATCATGCAACACGAGGTACTCACGAGCTGGTCTCTCCTGTGGGTCTTCAAAACGTGTCAGTGTCTTGAAAATGGAAGTTGAGTCACTGTGTTTTATACACACTTTTAGGGCATCTGCCACACGGGAAGCCATCAAGTTAGCGTGCCTATCTCTATGCCGACCTCTTGGGCACAATGCAGTGTTTCTGACTTACATTCCACGCGGTATCGTGTAGTCATGTTGAAGATGTCTCGATTGATGAAAGGGAATGGACAAGAGTGAAGGGAACAGTGAGCCGTGAGTTGTCAGTGTACAAGCTGCTTGTCCAAGCTTCTAAGGTTATCGGAGACGGCCGTTAGTGGCTGGAGTGGGAAGGGGCCATGCACATGTGACACCGTGTCGTCCCCGCACAAGGGCAGACTAACGCCCGAGAGCTGCTTGTAGGCCGCCGTACGATTTGACGGTTACTTTGCTTTTGCCCTCCGATTGCGTGCGCAACGCGCGAGATTCGTGGGTTGTAGGGTGAAGCTACAATCGATAAGCGGGGATCTACAACGGCCGCTACTGAGAGCTACGCCTTTTATGCAAGGGCCCACCGCGTCGGACAAACCACAGCAACGCAACTTCACCCCAGCTATCCCGCCGTGTTTATCTCGTCGCAACCGCCATGGACTCGCTCAACAACGTGGCCCTGCGCCCATGGCCAGCCCCAAAGAAGGAGGAGCTGACGCAGGACGATTTGCTGTTCAAGATCGAGCAGCTGGCCAGTGAACGGGGGCATTTGCGCAACATCACGGAACAGTCGCTCCAAGAAGACATCGATGCGGGCAAACATGTACCAGCCGACGCTGAGGAAGGAGCAAAGGACGAGAAGAAGGACAAGGAAGTGCCGTCCCGACAGGAACAGCTGGAGAAGGTCTTCAAGGCAGGACAGGAAATGTACAGCCATCTGGAGTACGTCTCGATGCGAATGCTTCATACCGAATGCAACGACTGACCAAAGATAGATGGGCCAAGTTCGCTGCTACCAACGCGCTCGATCTCGTCTCGCTTGTACTCTCCCAAGACCCCAACAAGCGCAGCCTGAACTTTTTCAGCCCTACTTTTCGTGACCAAGGCCTGAACCAGGGCATACCACTCGGCTCCTTCGGCATCAGCAAGGAGAACCATGAACACCGTACTCGTAAAGTGGAAGAACAGCACCGTCTCCAAGACCTGGCATCCAAGCAAGAGGCAGCGGCTCAAGGCGCACGCATGGGAGCACTGGATTCGTCGGTAGACGAGATACTAAAGGCCGCAAAACACCTCGAGAAAGAGATACGCCGCGAGACAAAATACTGGCATGAGATTGTGTCCGTCTCTGACAAAGGGTGGCCCATTCAGCGACTACGCCAGAACGTGCGCCATGCGCCTTTTGCTGTGCGATATGGACTTCCCGAAGGTATGGACTGCTTATTAATTCGCATGCTGAATTGAAGCTGACGACATTCTAGCTAGCGACCATTTCAAGGCCCGTGGATTCGCACCTCTCCAGATGGACAAAGATGGAAGTATCATACTAGATCCAGCTCTTGCGTTGAAGCCTAAAACATTTCGCGTGCGAGTCAGCATCGACGGCAAGATTACAGGTACATCACAAATCTCTGTCGACGGCGATTTTGCAACCCGGTCTCTCGAGAAGTCAATTCAACTTGCGCGTGACTCCTTACTCGAGGAAGAGCTGTATTATGAAATGAGCTTGGAGACGAGGCAGCTCTTGGCGTATGGTGTCGCATTTCGGGATTCAGTCATCCACATAGATGCGCCCCAAATGGGTAGTGCATTCCAGGATCGAAAGTTGCTCATTGATTGCATACCTCGAGACGATCCTATACCGAGTAACGAAGGTCATGAGCACGACTGGCTCGCTCGCAATATCGCTGAAGCGCTTCGCTTGCTCCTCGTTCATGAGCACAGCATGCGTCTACATCGGAGATCGCAGCTTCCACCTCCATTGACCGGCCAGGCACGGGAGAAGCTACCACCGCCTCTACTGCGTACGCTTCTCGCGATACTTAACCACATCGCTGGCGTTGACTCACTCTATGCTTACCTCGATTTGGTCGCAAAGACTCTGAAGGGTGCAGGCCTTGATGCGACACTAGAGACCACGCGTGAGACATCCTGGGCGAACCTCGTAGAGAGCCTAAAAACGATGTCAAGAAAGGGTCTGTCTGCAACCGACCAGCTGCTCGAAATTTTCATGAAGCCTTTCGATGGGAAAGCTACATTGACCCTCCCCACGTCCAACAGTGCACAGCCGGAAAATCTCATCGTTGTCACACGCACGATCATCGGTCAACCGACTTTTGGCACAGAGCACAAGCTTACACTTCCATCCACTTTGACTTCCGATATCGGATTGTTCCAGCAACACAAGTTTGATAGTGTTACAGAGTTGAAGTCATATCTCGACTGGATTCTCTCCCTGCATATTGCGCATAGACTTCTGAAGGGTGACTATGCTTCACGCGCGCAAACGAGAACCCAGGATCCACGGCTCTCAATTCGAACCAAGGACAGTAAGAAAAGCACGAAGTCCACCAAGGATATCAAAGTCGATTTCAATGATGGGGAATTGAAGGTTACTGCTCTGGCTGTCGATACCATAGCAGAATCGGGAGACAGTGAGCAATCGCATGTTTGGAGCGGAGCTGCCGGTAGTACGTCCTTGAAAGATGTTGTGCAAGAGTGGGTTGGCTAAACATTATCGTGGAAAGGATTGTGAAATAGAGAGAATTAAAGACCTTTCCAATCCGCAAGGATCCATATCAACCACGGCACTATTTTCCGCTCACAATGTGCTGGTGCGCCAAATGGTATTGCATCACAAAAGCGGGGAAATGCGCCGTCGATCCTGAGCCGTAAGCGGGTAGCTTCCCTAGATGCAGCCTCAAAGATCGTCCATACCTAGGTAATTGCTCGATTTTATCCTGGTACCTGACATGTACATGACGTGAAGACTAGCAATGCCCAGATGTCCAGGTACCTTCTGAGGTAATGTTTGCAGTTCGCGCTTGCGTGCTCCGAGGCTATATATACTGCCTGTCAGGCGTTGTGCCGTGGTCGTTACATGTCAACAGAATCTTGTTGCGTCCATGATGTTGTCCCTTCTTGTATGGACATTGAGCACATTGCTTCCTGCGCTATCCGGTGCACAGCGCATTCGCTCTGATCCCGGTGTCGCTGGCCCAGCTCTTGAGATTGTGCATCTGTACAACGACCAATGGCCTACCGGTACCAATGCACTCTGTCAGCGTTGCAAAATTCATGGCCACTAACACAGATCATAGGAATCACCGTATCGAAAGGCGGCCGCAAGTTCTCGAACTATCCGGCAGGCCTAGATGCTAATAACACAAATACGGGTACCAATAACAAGTATGCCGTGGCAGAGCTCACGACCAACGGCACCGAGACACCCTATCCTAGCGTGGAGATTAACAACCCACCAATTGGAGCTATCAATTACACAACGACTCCGCCGACTGGTGCAAACTACCAGAATTACCTCATCGGCGTACAGAGTGTAGTCTTGGATCCCCAAGATCGCCTATGGATCTTAGATACGGGACGCGCATTGACTGAAGATGGTACATTAGTCAATGCGTCTCCTGGTGGTCCCAAGCTTGTCGGTGTAGACATTGAGTCTGACACAGTGATTCAGACTATAGTCTTCCCACCCACGGTAGCATTCCCAGACTCGTACCTAAACGATGTCCGCTTCGACTTGCGACCTTCCGTCTCTGCTTCTGGCAAAGGAGTAGCCTACATCACCGACTCATCGTCTGAGGGCCGCAATGGAATCATTATCGTAGATCTAGGCACAGGCGAGAGCTGGCGCCACCTCGATGGTACAAAGGAGACGAGGGCTGAGAGGGGGTTTGTTCCATATGTCTGGGGTCAACCAGCTTACTACATTCCCGGTCCTGGTCAACCGCTTACCACTGTACCGTTGGGTAGCGATGGTATCGCCTTATCAGCTGATGGACAATACTTGTACTTTGGCCCCGTTGGTGGACGCACATTGTACAGTATCCCTACTGAGCGCCTACGGGACCGCAGTCAAGCTTCCGAGCTCTTGGCGCTGGGTGCGGTGAATAACAAGGGAGAAAGGGGTGTTAGTGATGGATTTGAGACGGACACCAATGGCTTCATCTACGCGGGTAGTAAGTATCCCTGTAAAAACTGCATGTGAGATATACACTGACTTTGTTCACTCGTAACAGATATGGAGCAAAATGAAATCGGGTTTCACAACCCGATGAACGCGTCTATGACGCTGTTTGTGAGGGACCCAAGGATTAGTTGGGTGGATACCAGTGAGTTTTTCTTGACACTGCTCACACTGAACGACGCTAATTTATACAGTGTCTGTCGGAAGCGATGGTTACCTTTACTTTACCGACAATCAACTTGCCTTCAGCTCGGCCTTTTACCCTGGCACGGATCGGAGGGAACGACCATTTGTGCTCTTCAGGGCGCCTTTGCCTAATAACGGTTCGAGGGTTTTCTTGCAGTAAGAGCATCTAAAATGTACCATAACTTTATAGTTTTCAATAGCTTGACATATATACGTCGTGGAATGTATACCTCTTATTTGGAAGGGTATATAATTTACGTCTTACCGAACACAAAAATGCCCTTGCCGTCCCTGTACCCCTCCAGCGTATCCTTCACCTTTCCTATCAATTCTTCGCCTTTGGTGTCCCATTCCCACTTGATCTCATCAACAGGCGTATCCTTGAACTCGCCCCTTCTTGTCATATCCAGCACGTCAGCAACAGTCTTCTGCTTCTCCTCTGGATGTTTCTCTGCCCATCTGCTCACCCAAAAGCCGTGAAAATGGATGTCTTTGAAGATGAGCATGGACGCAGGAATGGTCAAAGGTTGCTTGGACATAGCGCCGTACGTAACGAAATGTGATGACGAGGAAAGCAGTTTAGCCATGGCGGTGGCCGCCTTGCCGTTTACGCAGTTGAGAGCTAGACGTATAGGCGCGCGGCCGCCGTTTGTCCATTCCTTGGCCTGATCCTTAATGCCTTGAGCCTGCAATTCTGCATCTGTGATTACGACGTCAGCACCCAAATCTTGCAGTTCCTTCTTCATGGCTTCTTCTTTGCTCTTGTCTTCCCGGCTACGAATCACATTGATGCTCTTGTAACCCCATTTCTTGCCTAGCTGGATGGCTGCGCGGCCGACACCCGAATTTGCACCATTCTGTATAAACCAGTCGCCTTCAGAGAGGGTTGTGAAGTCGCGCAGCATGCGGTATGCTGTGCATGGGTTTATGGACACGGTGCCGGCCTGGATAGCGGTAATTCCTTCACGCATCTGGTCATCGAGTTTGACGACATCGTTGGTCGTGGCGCTTGCATGTGTTCGCCATGTCCCGAAGCCAGGACCCTTCATAAAGACCCAGTCGCCCTTTTTGAAGCCTTCCTTCTTGACACCCTCGCCAAGTGCTATGATTTCTGCCACACCTTCGTTTCCAGCGACAGCAATTGGGTTGGGGGTGCCCAAGTTTGTTGTGAAGGTTGGCTTGGAAGGGTATACACCTTGGATCTGGTTGATGTCGGCGGGATTGATGGGCGAAGCGAGGAAGCGCAGCGTCATGTAGTTGCTATGTGGTGGCGAGATGGAATGACCGTGAAGAGAGAGCACAGCTGGAGGCTCGCCATAGTCTGAGAAAGTGAGGGCTTTGGCCTGTTCGTAGCCGTATGCGGAGATGTAGCGGCGCTGTGGGAGTCGAGATACGGTCGGTGCTAGACTTGGCGTGCGACGCAGACATGACTGCGCTAATCGTGGCGACGCCGGAAGCAGTCTGGAAGCCATTGTGGACGGTGCAGGCGCTATGCGACTGTTGTGTGAGTTGGCAGCTGGTGGAGCTCATGGAAGATGTTTTGAGAAGACGGAGCTATGACGTTGCTAAAGCCGAGGTTTGGTGGAGCAGTGGAGCGTCACGGTAGGCATCACGTCCCCATCAGGTCCATATCTACATAGGGTCCTGACGTGCGAGTGCATACCAATGCTGGATTTATGCTCTCTAGACGCTCGAGTAGTGCAGTGCCTCACATCCCACCCCTAATTGCGTCTCTAAACCCAAGATTTTACTTCTTAATGGACCGCTAGAGAAAGGTGCCTGTGAGAGTACTCGTGTATAGATGGCATGTAGCCACGACATGCGCAGTCAGTTGTGTGTGTGTGTGTGTGTGTGTGTGTGTGTGTGTGTGTGTGTGTGTGTGTGTGTGTGTGTGTGTGTGTGTGTGAAGAAGCAACCAGTGGTGGCAGGCATTCACATGCAAGCCAGCCCAAGCAGCGCTTCGTGAAGCTTCCCGCCAGCCCTAGAGCGTGGGCATCTAGACGCCACTAGCACCGCCCCGCGCGACGTCATCAGCCCATGCGTTGCCAGGCTGCGCCCCTCCCTGAACTGGCTTCTTATACCCCTCGACCACTACAAATAGACCCTGTCTCCAACACCTAGTCTACTACATCACTCATAGAATCATTGCACTCTTCTTAACTACTATACCCTTAGCACCCAATTCTCTCAAACCACCCCCACCCTGCATATACGTCAACATGGCTGCCACCGTCAACGTCGAGAACATCTCCACCAAGACCAGCGAGGATGAGATCAAGAGCTTCTTCTCCTTCTGCGGAAAGATCCAGTCGCTCAGCGTGAAGCCTTCGGGCGACGACACACAGTCAGCCTCCGTTACGTTTGAGAAGGCCGCTGCCGCCAAGACCGCCCTTCTCCTCGACAACACCCAGCTTGGACACAACTCGGTCCAGGTCACATCAGCTAAGAGCCTCGACGAGATTGCCGGCGAGAAGTCTGCCGCCGCCGAAGACGCCAAGGACGGCGACCACCACATCGAGCAGGAGCAGAAGCCCCGCGCACGCATCATCGCCGAGTACCTCGCCCACGGCTATGCCATCTCCGACAAGGCCATCGAGAAGGCCCTTGCAGCAGACAAGCAAAACGGCTACAGCACCAAGTTCATGAACATCCTCAACAACTTCGACCAAAAGACCCAGGCTACACAGAAGGCGCAAGTCGTCGACCAGAAGCTGGGCGTGACAAACAAGGGCTACGCTGCCTTCAACATGATGACCAGCTACTTTGACAAGGCCGCATCTACACCCACTGGACAGAAGCTTCGTGCTTTCTACGACCAGGGAAACAAGACTGTCATGGACGTCCACAACGAGGCTAGGCATCTGGCAGACCTTAAGAAGCAGAAGCCTGCTGGTGAGGAGGGTGCTGCCGCTACCGCCGAGAGCAGCGAGAAGCCCGCCCAGGGTCAAAGCGAGAAGGGCGCAGACTCCTACGCTGCCGCTGCCGCTCCTACTTCCTAGGTGCAAACACTATTGTGCTGACAGCCGAGAGCTGTAATAGCTTTTCTTTCGGTTTTACGATTCCCACTTGGTTCACAGTCTGTATTAATACTTGCGCATGATACCGACGACGGCACGAGCATGGAGTTTGGAAGGGGATGGTTTATTCAGCCTACGAGGAAAGAATTCTATCTAGTAACCATTGAAAGTGACTTCTGTGCCGTTGTGTAGTGTTGCCATACTCATCGAATGAAACATGACGAAGCAACGACCCTCTATTACCCTCTTTCTCTCCAACAATGTAAACAATATGCAAAACCCAAGTATACAACACGGTGAAACAATGCAATTAGACAAATCTCTGCATCAAGTTAGTATCCCCACTCTCCACTATCCAACAGACTCTGGCTAGCCACAAAGCTGAATCCACCAAAAGGATTGCTAGAAGCCTGGCTCTGACTTTCGAACATCAAGTCATCAAACTTCTTTGTCAGAACAGGGCTCAGCGGAAGATCGGTGAAGTCCTGAGCAAAGTTCTCTGCCAACTCCGGGTCTGTGATAAGTGGTTGAATCGGCGGTGTCAACTCCCTCGCCTCCAACTTCTTCCAATCGATTTTGCGGAAAAATCTATGTTTCTTAATGTTGGGCAAGTCCTTGGCCATGTTGAATCCTAGGCGTTTCTTCGGGTCTTTGCGGAGAAGGCGGGTGAGAAGGTCTTTGGCTTCGGCGCTAAGGTAATAAGGCAATGAGAGTTTCTGTTTCACGATTTTTTCCTGAATCTTTGCGTTGTTGTTGCCAGTGAAAGGAGGAGCACCAGTGAGGAGGTCGAAACCAAGCGCACCTAGGGACCACCAGTCGACTGCCGCGCCGTACTCGAGGCCTTGAACTACTTCCGGAGCCATGTACTCTACGGTGCCGAGGAAGGAGCGGCAGGGGTTGTCTTCATCAAGACTGACTTTGCTTAGGCCGAAGTCGGTGAGGAGCAGGTGGCCCTCGGAATCTAGAAGGCAATTCTCTGGCTTCAAATCACGGTAGATGACGCCGACTGTGCGGTGAAGATGGTCGAGCGCAAGCACCATTTCGGCCATGTAGAAGGCTGCTGCATCTTCAGAAAACATGCGCTCGGCTTCAAGGTGGTGGAACAGCTCGCCTCCCTGGGCATACTCCAGGATGAGGTACAGCTTCTCCTGGTCTTGGAAAGCATAGTAAAAGTTGACGATGAATGGGTGGCGGTTCACACTCTCGAGAACATTGCGCTCCGTCTTGGTCTGCTCTATGAGCTTCTTATGCACAGTGATGGAGGCCTTCTTGAACTGCTTCTGCGCGAAAAGACGGCCTGTGGCGCGCTGCCTGACCAACAAGACGGTGCCATAGCTGCCCTTGCCCAGACACATCAACGGCTCGAAGTCTTCTGCCGTCATCTTACGCACCATGCCATTGTTCAACATGGTCGAGGTTTTGGAGAGCGTATCAACGCTGAAGTCTTCGGCGTTGAGGTCGATTTCATAGCTCTCCATCTCGGTACGATCACTGTCGCTTTCTCGACCCGACATGCTGGTGTTGCTCGACAACTGCGACGTGACCCTGCTCATAGGCACGCCCTTTCCTGGGTAATCCTTCATGGGGGAGTCGCTCCTTGGACCTAGACTCAGCGCCTCGAGTTGGGCTTTGAGGTTGCTGATGCCTCCTGCCGTGGACTGGGGACGGAGCGCTGGGCTGCTGGTCACACTTGGGAGTCCGGAACGAACAGGGCCAAAACGTGGTGTAGTCGCCAGAGAATAATCAGACTCTTCCCCACCAGACGTGACTGGAGTGTGGAAGCCCCGGGTGACACTCGTAGCCTGTAAGCCTGCCTTCAGGCCCTTCTTCTTCTTTTTCTTGTTCTTCTGGGCCTTCCTCATGACTGCGTCGAAATCCAACTTGTCCGGACCCTGCTGCTTGCATTCGGGATCGGGCTGCACTGCGCGCTTGGGCATAGGGCTGACGATATTGATCGGCGGGGTGCCCACATGGAGGGGCACGTTCGGGGGGCTCATGTCCATGTTCCCAGGTGCGAACATGTCGGCATCATCAGGCATGACAGGCTCGGGATTTGGCAGCGCATTGGCTGGAAGGTGCGCATCGTTCTGGTCGAATGCGAAAACCATGACAGCGGTAGTGGTGGGGTAATACGATATAAATTCGTCAGTCTTCAGGCTGCGCGCGGATTCTGCTCATGATTAGCATTTGCGCCCCCTGTCAGAGGGAACTGCGCGCACATCCAATGCCCGTCTTGGGCAGAACAATACTACAGTCCGCCGCGAATATTCACGGCGGAACTCCTACCCCTAGCCGAACCAGCGATGCGAAAGAGGCGTCCGTCCTGTTCAGACCCGAGCTCAGTGCGCTGTACGGAAAGAAGGTGCCAACTGCGGTAAGCTGAACGGTGGGGAGGAAAGTGGTTACGGCGAAGGAAGCAGAGCCCATAGATGGTCGTGTTGGAATATCGGGAATGGTGATAATTGAGGCCAGGATTCGGAGCCTGGCAGTAAATCTGTTTTGTTGGCGTGTCGCGGTGTAGTGAAAAGGCGTGTTTGAAGGGGTGCTGGAAGAAAGGACCGCGATCAGCGGGAGAGGCTCAAATCGCTCGCTTTCTTAATTTGGTGCCTTGGCGACCTGGCTGCGGTGGCATGTGAAATGAGCTTGCGCTTAACTCGTCACCCGCCCCAGACTCCGTCTGCTTCTCCACAAAACACTCGGAGCCCTACCCCGTGCTTCGTTTACATCATGTTCCAGGCTTGGTGCGTCTTACCAAAGTCATGCGCTGGCAACTGTAATGCGACCATCATCGATCTTGTTCGATACAATACGCCTTGAAATTGAAACCGCCAGCGCGTCTCAAGGCGCCAAACAGACTGTGCGATGCTCGTCGAGCGCGTTTTTTGCTCGCAAACAAATCAACGCGGCAAGGCTATACAGTTGCTGCCGTGAACCGACTTGAACCATTGCTACGGCCAAACGAAGCCACAAGCAATAGTCCTCAACGATAGCTAGCGGCCCCCTGTCTTGAATGACATACCTCACAAACAGCAAGGCAGGCACGGTGCATGACGGCATAGGGTGCGCCACGAGACAAGTACACTCTTCGTCCATCACACTACGCTCCCTGCGACTCCTCTGCATTTTTTTTTAAAAAGGCGACTGCGCAACTGAGTCTCTAGCAGGAAGGTGCGCAATGCTGTTATCCGAAGCTAAGCGGGTCCTGCTATTGCATCAGGTAACGTTCTGCCACCTCGATGCAGCACCAACCAGCGGCAAGCCTACAGCGCGAAATATGAATGTCTCAAATGCTTAACTCTCCATCAAAGCCTTCCTAGCTCAGTGGTAGAGCGCGTCACTAGTAATGACGAGGTCGTCAGTTCAATTCTGGCGGAAGGCAATTGAAATGATGTTTTTGGGATGGCCACTCCCGGGTAATGGCCGCCCGGAGCGCCCTTAATTTTTTCCCTTTTTGCCATCAAAGGGAACCCTTCCTCTATCGAGCTTCAAGACCTCTCAGAAAGATGTTCTTCTATTTTGGACTTGCGCCCACGTCTTTCGCGTTGTTCTGCAGCCATCAAGATCCAAATATCAAGGGAGGACTAGGACAAGTCTGTACGCTTCACCAACATCAAGTGTGTGCAGAACAGCTTGTGTCCACATGCCTCAACTTGACCGACGATAGTCCCTCGTATGGCAACTCGAGAGATTGGTTTAGTTGGAACTATATCAAATTCTCCAACGGGCATGCCTCATCAAGTCCATTGGTATGCATAGCCCTAGTCCCAAGAGGCTTTGTATGTACTTGCAACAATAACGTTCAAAACAGCACAACCTGAAAGGTGCGCATAAAAAAATTGATTCATATTGCACGTGCAGTTCGTGAAAAGACATATCTTGCCAACTTTTAAAGTAGGGGGTCAGTTTCATGTACAACTTATATAATCACAACCCATCTCTCCGTTATTGTTTGTTCAAATATGATTCCAGGTAGGAAACGAAAAAAGGAGTTGTATGACCACATCATAGAGGTCCAGCATAACAATGATGCCACTGGGCTGAGTTGAACGGTCATATCTAGCAAATCGTCAGGGGTGTCCATTCCTGTGGTCGTCTCTGTTTGGCTTCATCAAGCGCACGCTGACTGGAGTCAAGACATGTGTTTTGGCTCTTCGCATGCAACCTACTTATTCTTCGGTGAACTGAGCGTGGTATGCCAGCTTGCCTGAAGTTTCAATGTTGTTTACTCTGCTGACCAGGACGCAGAGCCCAACGGACCATACGACGTGCGCGACATTCCGAACACGTGGGGCTATTGAATCAACAGATGCAGCAGCCATGACTCCTCGACCGGATCACGTTAGCATTTGCTTACATCTCGTACCCGGCAAAGTAGGTATGGACGGCTCTTCCCTTTGCATACTGACGAATGTCTGGGCGACTAGTGAGATTCATGTTTGTCATTACCTTGGCCTGCTGTATATTGTGCCGATGATATAACTTATAGCCTCATCGACCTACAATCAGACAAAGCACGTAACAGAAAAATTGTATCCGGCACGAATGTATGAGAGGCAAGAGTAGCGAACAGGCCAGCAACCGAACCAGAGCGAGGTCAGGGCTAGAGAGTTTGTACGTAATGACCGCCCTTCCGGAAGCCAAGATAAAATAAGCATCTCATCTTCATTGACCGCCTAACGCAAGCCACAATTTGAGCCAGTGGTCAGTCAGCGTGTGCGATCAACCTCGCTGTATCTCATTCCAGTATCCCATTCCCTAACCACAGCCGCTTCGGGCCGAGGAGTGCCTCTTCTGCAGGCCGAAGTAAGATATAGGATGTACAGAAGAAGGTTTTGCTACCAGTCTGACCGGACCGCATCAATATAGCCATATTAACTGTTGTGTAACCTCAGCAGATCATGTCTACATTGACTATGCCAAGGTTCTTGGGGTCATGAAAACGACGAATCACCACAGCAGACTTTGCCCTTGAGACCCAGATTCTAGCTACTACGCCCACAAAGGTATTGTTCGGAACATCGCCTTCGCGTCTCGACGCCTCAAGCCTCCGCCTGTTATGCGATCAGCTTACCCCCACCGTCATTGCTATTCAAGAAAGATCGTACAGGCATCACTAGTGCTATTCAATCAGCGCGGTGAGTGAATGAAGGACGTTGAGTGGGCACAACGACGAACGAAGATGTGGTAGTAGCCTCATGCTAGACCTCGAACCCCGAGACAGTGACCCAAGTTAGGACTTTGTTAACCATACATCCACCTGGAAAGACTGGAAGAGCTTACCGATCAAATAAGACGACGACGGAGAAGCAGTAACATAGAGAGAGAGGCGAGGAAGAACAAGTATAAAGGATGTCCAGAATTCGACTTGAAAGGACTCATCAAGCTCTATCATCATAACATCAAACCACTTCACCAGCCTTTCGCTAAACACACCACTTTTACAAATCGATCAACATGCGTTTCTCAACCATGACCGTCTCCGTGCTCGCCGCCGGCCTGGCAGTCGCCTCCCCAAACTCTATCGCCAAGCGCGAAAACCAAGAGATGACCAACGTTATTGCGTTCGCTGCCCAACAAGCCGACTGCAGTCTCTTTGACTGCGCTGCTGTAGTCGCTGCTGGCGCCTGCATTGCTGGAGCGATCGCAGTTCCAGGTGCCGTTCCTGCAGTTCTGGCTTGTGTTGGTGGTGGTGCTCCTTCGGTACGTGATTTACCATCTTCGCAGATCCTCTTGTACATTAGGCAATCTTCTAATCATCTTAGATCTGCCCCTGCGCCGGATGCATCGACGCTCTTAATAACTTCCTGGTCGAAAACAACGTCTGCCCCGAGTAAAAACAGTAGTAGACAATCTAAGGATCATTCTATAATCGATCGGGGAGTACGTAGAAGCAAGGGGCTCAGACGGACAGTAGTCCATCGACATTAGACCTGCAGTGTTTAATGTAGATTGAGACAAAAGGCTTTCACGGGCGTCTTACATGTATCTCATTGGTGCTTGTTTAAATACACTCGCTTTTCAATGAAATTGCTGGCCGGCACAACCAATTTCCGCTTGCATTTCTTCATTCCAAAACGGTGCCATGACACAATGGGTGATAGCGTACCCTACATGTTAATATTTCGGTCAGCACAAACGCATCCATGAGACGACGTGATGATTAAGTCGAGAGCTAGATACCTTGAGTGAACAATCATGACACGCTTCCAAACATAAACTAGCAGTCGATATCTGATAAAAGTGTCACTGTACGGAACAAAAGAGTGGAGGTAATGCGATTGATGGTGAATGATGGGTATTGGGTATCAATGGTTGTCATGATCTATTACGCGATTTGCTACTTCTTTTCGTCGTCCTCAGTCAATCTGCGACATCTGACACAGGATTTGTACGGTAGTAATCGATTCAGCAGAGTACAAAAGAGTAATGTACAAGAATATAGTTGAGAACTATCTTTCCTTTTTTGATATAAACCTCGTCGCGTCGTTCACGGGGCTAGCCCCGTCATGTCTCGATGACGATAGATCAATCGACCCCTGATAGGGAATTCTTGCTTCCAACTAAATGAAACGCGAAAGTGGGGTTGACTTAGTTGCAGGTACCAAAGCCAGATTGGCAGCCAGTACCGCAGTGACCGGTGGTGGTTCCGCACCAACCGTACTGGGAGCAGCAGTTTCCGAAAGTAGATCCAGCACATGTGAAGCCAGAGGTTCCGGCACAAGATCCGTCAGTGGAAGCCTTCTTGGTTGGAGCAGCAGCAGCCTTGGTGGTAGTGGTAGCAGCCGCCTTGGTAGCAGACGCTCCAGTGCCAGAGCACGTACCGAAAGCAGAGTTGCAGCCAGTAGAGCAGTGGTCGGTGGTGCTTCCACACCAGCCGTATTGGGAGCAGCAGTTCCCGAAGGTTGAGCCGGCGCAGGTGAAGCCAGAAGCACCGCCACATGAGCCATCGGTGGAAACCTTGCCTGCAGCAGAGGCGACAGGGGCCTTGGAACTAGTGGTAGCAGCCTTGGTCGTCGACGTAGCCTTGGTGGTGGTGGTAGGAGCGACGCCATTGCTTCCGCAGTTACCGAAGCCAGACTGGCAACCAGTTCCGCAGTAGGCTGAGGTGGTACCGCAGTAACCGGCAGAACTGCAGCAGTTACCGAACGAAGATCCCAGGCATGTGTATCCCTTGGTTCCACCGCAAGTAGCATCGGTGGTGACTTGCTTGGTTCCAGTGGCAGCGGGGGCAGTAGCAGAAGTAGTAGGGTTGGCAGAGCCAGCACCACCAGCAGTGCGGTACCAGTTTTCCTTGGGGTCACCGAGGCAGTCACCAACGGTAACAGCCTTGTAGCCGAGCTGGGTAAGGGTGGAGAGCATGTACTCAGTAAGGTTCATGGCAGTCTGCTCGTGGATGTCATGTCCAATCTCGAGCCATTGGTTGCTGGCAGCGGGGCCACTGGTGACGTTGCCCAGGAAAACGTCCTTGGAGTACTGGATCAGAGTGGTACTGTCGTGTTCATAGTCATCAGTGTCAAGGTTGAAGTATGTGACGTGATAGCCAAGATCAGCCATGTCCTTCTCGCAGCCTGACTCAGCAGTGCAGCTGGAGTATGGGGGGCGCATGTAGGTGGGGATCTTGCCGACAATGTTGCGGAGAGCCATCTCGTTCTTGATCATCTGGTTGTAACGGTCTTGCTGGGAGATGGCGCTCAAGTCCAAATGAGTCCAGGTGTGGGAAGCAAGCTGGTGGCCTTCAGAGTCCATGCGCTTGAGGACATCGCTGAACTCAGGGGTGATGTCAATCTGTCCCTTGTTGATGTTGTTTCCAGTGATGAAGAAAGTAGCCTTTGCGTTGTACGAAGCCATGACATCGAGAATGTGGCTGGTGAAGACCTTTTGTGGGCCATCGTCGTAGGTAATGGCAACCGTACCTGGTGTGGTACAACCGTAGATACCAGCACCACCGTACTGGACGTCACCGAGCTTGGGACGAGCGATAGAAGAGGTGTTGGTACCACCTGGAGTTGCGTTCTCAGGGCAGCCAGGACCGTGCGCGTAGTCGCATCCGGGAGAGTAACAGTAGTCGTCCTCAGTACCACAGTAGCCAGCCTCTGAGCAGCACTGGCCAGCGGGACAGTTGCCGACGCCTGCACCGCACTGGCGGTCATCCTGACGGGCAACGACGGCAGTCTTGACCTGGGTCTTGGGCTTGAGAAGTTCGTTGACTCCAGTGAAACGTGCTCCGGTGCGAGAAAGCAAATCCCGAGCGCGGAGATCCCTGGGGTTCAGTCCAATGATGTTGGGTAGGGCAGCTCCATGAGCGTTGACCAAAGGAGTAATAGCTGCAACGGCAGCAAGAGCGGTAGAGTAGTGCATGTTGTAAGAATAAGGTCGGTTCGAATTACGGAATTAAGTGTTGATCTGGTAGGTCAGATCAAGAGAGGTGAGCGAGTGGATAGTGGTGGCCAATATCGACGACACACTGGGGAATCTTGGACCGAAAAGAAGGAATGGTCAAGATGAAGGTAAGGTAGAATTAAAACTTCGAACAGAAGGTACCAAGAAAGCTCATCAAGACGTGCGGGCAGAATCATCTTATGAAGGACGAAGATGATCGACAGCCAGCCAGCAACCCCCGTAAGGCATGGTGCTAATGTTGACTCGCGTTACGGCTAGCGCTCTCGACACTTGCCTGCAGGTGCCGGTCAGCTTGGGAAAAGGAAGCTTGGTGCCGCGGGCCCCTGGGGCTGGCAGATTTCAAGCTGTCGACCCGCGGCGCCGGCTTCGCTTCGGGCGGACATGATGCGCGATTGGGACGTTTCGTCATGGGTGGTAAGTAGCACGGACTCCTTTGCCATGCAGGAACCATCAACTCTATCACGTTGTCGAGCGAAAAATAGATCAAGATGGTTGATCCAAGCCGTTTGAAACGTGTTTTGGCATCTGTGCCATCCGAAATGTTATTACCACACGCCTCTGACGTCTGCAGGCCGGCAATCGGTCGAAACAATGAGTGATTCATCGCACACGTTCTCCACCATTGTCCCTCACTTAACGGTTGCTTGGCATATATGGTCGTCGCGCGGTCGCTGTTCAACATGTTGCGATGATGGTATCTCGCCTATACGCTAGAAAATTATCATTTAGCTGTTGTGAGATGCTAAGCGCGTGGCGATGTGACGTCTTCCATGATCGGTCTGATGGTGCAGCACCTAACAGATGGCCCTTCGGGCGTCAGCCATGGCGTTGAGCCATGAAAGCACCGACATGCGCTGGCGCATTGGCAACAGCTGCCGAGGACGCCCAACCGACGGGTGCAGCTCTTGGAGGAGCTTGTTAGGGATAAGAGATCCGCCCCGCATCACCACCAAAGTCTTCGTGTAGGCAGTCGTACGAGTCTTTCAAGCCAAGCCATGCAATTGCATGAAGTTTCTTCCGCGAAAGGTAGCATGTTGCGCGAATCCACTACCTTGAACGTCTCCTCTCCCCCTGTGGTCCAGACGCCTGCAGCTTCCGAGGAAAATTGGAGTCAAGTGGGCTTTCCGATGATACGAGATGAGCCAATCACGTGCTCTGCCAAGCGAGACTCAATACTAATCGCTCCCACTCTCCAACAGGACGGGATACTTGCTTCCGCCAAACGCCTCGCTCTGCCGGTATACCGTCGCGAATCGTCACTCTTTGCCTATGTGGATGACTCGATGCCAAAGGGCAATGGCGCATTCTAACACGCAACCACAAGAGCAAGCCGCTCAATAATCAATACGTTTTGCATTGAGACGATTGGGATCAAGGGGGACGGGAAGACCTCGTATCCCTTCTCTGTCTCCATGCAGCTAACCACTCATACATCTGATTCAGGCAGCCTCTTCAAAACCTCCACCACTCCATAGTCTCATAGAACAGCTCTACTGTATGCACATCGGGAATACCGCAAGGAATAAAGCCCGAGTCTATTTTGAGCATATTGCTTTTCTGTTGCGAGACAAGCTTTTGCTCAAGTGACTAGGTTCTTCAGCCTCGTGCCGGCGGCTTGACTCGCCAAAACAAAATTGCGATAGACAAACTCTTCTCGTGCGCAAGCAACAGCACGACCATTTCTTAGTAACTCTTAGGCTTACGGAGTTCAACGGTGGAGAAGAATCGTTTGCGGCCTGTATTGCGACTGGTAGAATTTCCGATCGCATATCTCAACCTCCGCCTCCCGGTGCCGCGTGAGCTGGGATGCCAGGCATCACCAATGACCCTTGTGCCACTCACACATCCTACTCATGGGCTAATAATTTACCCTGACACATAAGGCCAGAACCGGATAGGACGGCCCTGCAGCCTCCACATTATCGATATCCAGCTGCGGTCATATATTCTTTTTCTTCCCTTACGCTGGATATAGCATCTCCAAGGGGCGATTGAGCCAAGGAAATCGTGTGGAGAAACAAGGCGTCCCCTACCCGTATCGCTTCTTCTGTTAAGCAAGAACAAGCACTTGCTCTGCCGTTGCATCTCGTGGCACTTGGCGCATGCCGTATACCCGCAAATACTCGTATTGCATGATGAGCACGTCGGCTGCAGCCTGAGAAGTCAATGTACATGAATGCCTCAGGGGTCGTGGTCTGTCTGGGCGTGTTGCACCGTGAGGACGTCTACTTTTTCCTCCACTAACATTTGTTTCCTTGTCCGCCAGACGTACTTTGTTATACAATGAGTGAACTGTAAGGCGATAGGTTGAACCTAACATCGAAGATCAGCATCGGTTACATGCACGAGCGGCACACAACGTTGTCGCACAGAGGATTGACGTCCCGCTGCTGATCAGTCGTAGATCACCTACATCAGGGACCTGCACAAAATTATGAAGAGCAACATGACAAATGTAGATCATCGCAACGTCTATCGATATCGAGATGCGATGTGGATGTAGAGTCAGATATGTTCGTCAAGATCTACTATTGGCCCTATGCCTGACATCCGTGTTTGTAAACAAAGATTTCGTCAGGCTTCCTGTCCGGAATGGAGTCAGACCGAAGGAATAAGGAAGGTCTAGGAAGAAGCACTGCAGGCGGACAAACGCGATCCATGAACCACAAATATCTCGCGCCAGTGGCATACTTTCGTGTGCATGTTGTGCGTCATAGATCAACCACAGTCACACTTGACACTCTGCACCGATAGCTCGACTTGGTTGGGCAAAAGGATCATCTCCACGGAGAGGTATCGGCCGAAAACTTCAAGATGCTGTGCGGGGTGCTGAATGTCTTGTCTGGCTATAACGTTCCTACAAACATTCACGTATGTTTAATACTTCGCTTCGGATCTTGTGTAGAACTGAGGACGAGGTCTATTCTCAAATCATAAAAAGCAATTCCATATACTTAGCTATTTCAGACGTTACGCCCCCCTTTTCAGTTGTCTCCCAGTGACAATCCCGTTCTTCCCTGCGATCCCGTTGTTTACTGCAACAGCAAATGCAGCAATATCAGAGTTGGGCTGTAACCCCTGCTTTGGTCTGTCAAACGGGAAAACCACACTCTTGTCTCTGACTCCAAGACTATCTACGAACAATACGTTTGGGAAGCTTTGCGGCGTAAAAGCGTTCCAGGCTTCGCTTATTAGATCATCGAAGGCTGACGCGGCCATATTCCTATGTGTCATGTTAGTCCAGGGAAGAAATTGTAGGCAGAGAAGGCGGATTACGAACATGATGGCTTTGTCAAAATTTAGGACGTCTTCAGGTTGTTGCGTCAGCGTCCAGGAGAAGATGTGGAAAGCATCCTTCTTCTCATGTTCTTCGCCTACGATGTTTCGATTCTGCTTTAGTTTGGCTAACTGATCGCTCTTCATGTTGGCAAGGTTGTTGCTATTGCTGTATTCGTCGTAGAACGGAAAATTACGACCGGAGTAAAAACCCTGGCTTGCAAAGTCGCCCAGTGTTATACCTTCAGGTATCTGGGCGACCACGAGGACTGAAGCACGGTCGGTGATGAATTCCCCAAGGCGTTTATCAGAGAGATCAGTGGTTCCTGAGTTTTTGAGAATATAGCGGTCGTTGATGCTCTTTAGTGTGGTGAAGAGATCATTCCATTGCGTTTGGGTAAGGTCTTTGTACTTGTTGTCTGTGTCGAGTGTGTGGCTTAAATTTATGATGACGAGCTCTTGGTAATCTGCTGTGAAGTCGTTGATCTGACGTATGATCTCTTCAAGCGTCTGTCCATTACCACCAAGCCAGATGTCGCCCACTTGGCCATAGTGACCGGCTACCCATTCCCCTCGAGAGAGCACTGGACGAAGGTCAAAATACCGCGATCCGGCCATTAGTTGTTGATAGAAATCTAGGTATTGTGTCTGGGTGTTCGCAAAGTGCGCACCGATGGTACCAGGTTTGAAGGTACCCATGCCTGCATCGTGAGAGCCCGGCATGCATATGTGCTTCAAGGTTCTGTTCGCCAACGAGCCCAGGCTCTGCTGCATCCAATCCGAATACGTACCGCTATTCGACCACCAATTACCTGCTTCATCCACAGACATGATCCAGTTGACTGCAGCGTTGTGCCGAAAGCCCAGATCGATCTTTGCTCCTTGCGAACTCTGCTTCGTCGACATATCGTCCAAAGATATGGTGAGCTTATAGTCTGAAGGCTTTCGACTCAATACTGTGAACTTGTCCGATGTTTCATCGATACTGTAGTAGGCCTCACCCGCATCGTCACGGGTGCTTCCTCTGGTCCCGAATTCCACATAGACTCTGGATGCTTGGCCTTGTTCAGTCAGCGGCGGTGTCGTTTCTAGGTCAGAATTGTTCATACCAGCGTTGATTGTTGGCCATATCCATGTGTCCATTTGATATGAGTGTTGGCTATTCAAGATCCACCTGAACGGCGAACCGTTTACCAGAGTCAAATCTCCGCCTGTTGATACAAAATCAGTTTCGTCCCTTCTTACCACACTCTTAGACCATTAGATCATGACTCACCCCAACCCATAATTGATGTCTCTTTCAAATCTTTCTCACTCGTCGACTTGTTGTAAGAGACTGACTGTAGTCTTTGCTGGTGTATGTGCTCTCCTCGTGCAGCGTAACCGGTACGATCGTCCTGAAAACCAGATCCTCGCACAACGCCATGCTGTGGAAGCAGCAGAATTAAAACCAACCCTCCCCAGAGCCCAGAAAACAGGCGCATGATGCCCAAAATTCCCAGGTTCTGCATTGTATTCTAGCGGCACCCTACTGGGTCGGCCCTCTCCGTCATTCCCGTGCTTGCGCCGCTGTCAGCCACTCAATCGAAGCTCGTGTTTATCCAGATGCGCCCCGAATCCTTGCAGGGCTGTCTGAGTTGGTGTAGACGGGTAATCGCTGTATAGATACAGCCGAGGATTGGTCGTGTTTTGCCGTCACTTTCTTGATTGGGTGAGCTTTGTTGTTTCACCTTTACACCCACTCCGCCAATACAGAGTCCGATAGCCTCAAAGTGCAGATATCAAGGTGTTGATTGTGCTTAGCGGCATCCAATACCTATGCGCAAGAGTATAAAGACAACGTAAAGCGTAGCGCAGCGCAGATCCAGATGGCTAGGGGTTCTTGAGGCTTGGTGTTGTTTGCCGCATCGTTACGCCGGTAATTGCTCCGAGCGTCGCGTCACGTCGCGTCTACAGCATTGTTAGGAACAAGAAAATTAAGGAAATATGAGCTTCTCCCTATAAGATCATGCATACATCAGAGAAAAGCTGGAAAATCTTAAGAACTCTTTCTTAAAGATAGCACAGGAAGGAGCATCGGAAATCCACAAATTGACCACATTCTAGGCGGTCAAACATTATTTGCCGTAGATGTATGTTTGAAATGCATGTTCCATCTATATTCATGGGAGCACGACATGACAGCTCACCTGTCAACAGTAATCATCCAACCATCGCCTAGTACACTACCGTTCGTGTCAACACCACCCCACACTACACATGTCGCTCCATCAACCTCTGTACCCTTGGCAATACCGAAATGTCCTCTTGCTCCGAGACCCCTCTTTGGTTTTCCTGGTATCTCCTTCTCTTCTTCGCCCTTTGTGTCTACGTACCGGTATACTACCTCAGCCCACTGCGACTCATGCGTGTCCCTCTTCATACCGGAGCGGATAGTGTCCTTGGTTGCTGCGGCCGTGTAACGCTCAGGTGCAAGCTGCAATGCCCATATATCGTCAAGGTAGCTACCATCCTCGGTTTCTCCGCCAACAGCTAGCAGGTAGTGTCGCCCTTGGCCTGTCGTGACGCCTACAAGTCCTGCGTCTGCCCGCGCCTGTGGTGCTGTAGCAGTACTACCTTGGCTGTCCGTGTGCTTCACTTCTTCCCAGCTCCAGCCACTCGCGACCGGTGTAGTTCCGCGTTCTGCATGCGTCCATACATGTGATGCGTCCACGTACTCAGTCGCACCTGAGGCAAACGTCTCGATGCCCTTGCCACCAAATCGATATAGGCGACTGCCAATGAGTGCTAAGCCTGCGCCTTCTCGGGGCTGACCTGTTGGAGAAGGTATATTGGTCCATGTCCTCGTCTTGACGTCAAATGCAAGCGCATCATTTGCAAGGTCATTGCTCGAAGTATCACGACCTCCGACTACGAAGATGGTCCCGTATGAATTAGCTTCCGGCGGCTCAGGAACATTCTTTGCGGGGTCAGCAGGTGCTTGTGGTGCCTTCTCGACATATGTCGTTGTCTTCGGGCCTGGCAGATCTGAGCTCGCCGAAGCATGACCAGCTCGCTGGCTGGGATAGAGCGTGCCTTCCGCTGGATCAAGGTAAGACCATGTGTTCGATACTGTATCATAAACCCAAACCCGCCCCTTCTCGTTTGCCACACTCTCTCCCTCGCCGCCAAACACGTAGATGCTATCTCCTATCACCGTAGCCGTATGTCCTTTTCTCGAGTTCGGCACGTCGTCCAGACCGTTTGTCGCGCGAGCGGGATACTTGGTGTAGTCGGCGTCGAGAACGCCGCTCGACGGTAGAATGACAATATGCATGTCATTGTCTCCGAGCTTGCCAGCCTCGGTCTCTCCTCCAAAGATGTATGCGCGACCTTTGACTACTGAGACGGTGTGGTGCGAGCGAGCGAGGGGAACCGAAGATATACGCGTAAGATTTGCCTTGATGGGCAGTGTTGGATGAGTGATACCCTTTACGAGGGCGACGGCACCCTCGAGTAGATTCTCGGCTGCGTAGAGCACACCAGCGGCTCCGGCCTCCATTGTTGCTGGCAAGAGTGTCGTGTGTGTTAAGGCAAGAAATGCAGGGGTTCAGTCAAAAAGTTACGAGGCAACTCTATTAATCGTTTATATGAATTGGTTGTAAGACGTATTGTACATGAGAAGAGTGATGTTGTATGGCATAGCTGCGAAGCTTACCCCAGGCGTGACGTCATGGCACAAGACCCTTGTCGCCTTGACGCGTCCCTCCACGGTAAGCGGGTGTTTAAAATCGTGGAATGACAGTGCAGCGCCTCGGCTTCCAAACGCATAGCAAGACAGATGGCTTGTGATACACATGTTTCTATACGGAGGTGACGGTGCCTTTAATGTGTAAAGGCTTCCACAAGGTAGTGTTTCTGCCTGTGAGCTGGATGTATGAGACGGCTTGCGTCTCTCACAGAAACCAATTATGGTCTCTTTCACAATAGCTGAAAGTCTGGATAACAAAGAGTATCTCATGTGGTAGTATGCATGAGTCAATTATATATTCGGGGAAAGCTGGTCGGACTTGACATATCGTTCGACCTGAGTGTTTGTTAGTATCGCAGTGCAACACGAGTGTAGTTTGCCATACCGTATCAATCGAGGCTTGCAAGAAGCTGCGCGCCTCAAGACCGACCCAAACCTTGAGCATCGAAAAGTCGCCTCCACGAATCATCGAAGAGCCACTTTGCGTACCAAGTTGTCGAAGTATTGGTAGAGCACTGACGGTGTTAGTAGATGACCCTCTGTACTCTGCTGTATGACCTACCCTGCAAAGAGATCCAGGTTTGGGTTCAAACTCCTTCCAATACCCTCTAGGAGGAGGATACTAAGAACAACGTTTACAAAGTCGCCTTCAAGCCGTACATGATGCGTTCGCACCATAGAGAGAACCTCGTTAAGGATATCTCCAATCTTGATGTTGCCAAGAGCAAAAGTACGGCTCTTGACTCCCAAGACCAGATGTTGCATGCGCAAAGCAAAGACTTCTCCGTCGAGTACTGCATCTGGCTGTCTGCATCTCTCTACCATCAGATGTCCTGCCTTGTAACCATCAAACTCGGCAACAGCCTTGAAGAGATCCAGAAAATTGGCGCGATTCTTTCCATTGAGTTCCGTTACCAAACCCGTATCGATGAAGATGAGCTGTGGTCGATACCCTTCGTTATCGATCTCCTGTAGCTTCGCTTTCCACTGCTGGGGATCCTTCTTGTATGGTCGCAGACGCTCAAGTACCTCTTCGGTAACATCGAGCGACTCTTTGGGGCCGGTCCTTCGATCTTCCTTGCGGGCGAAGATTGAGACGTCTAGCCGCTCGGGCTTGTAAAACCGCACCATTATGTTTCCCGGATGTAGGTCGGCATGGATAAAGTTGTCGATGAGGACCATGGTAAGAAAGGCATCCAAACCTTCATCTGCAATGTCCTTTTGAAATACTCCACCTCCATTTTGTAGAAAGTCTTCCATAGGAATGCCCTGGGCGAATTCCTCGATCAACACGTTGCGCGTAGTGTATTCCGTGTAAGGATAAGGAAACCAGGCTGTGGTTCGGTCTTTGAAGTTTCGTCGGAAGAGGGTGAGGTTTGCGGCTTCGATGCGTAGATCTAATTGCAGTCTCATCATCTCACCAAACTGTTCCACTTCATCGGGAAATGACAACCACTCCATGGTGGGTATGGCGTTGATAACAGCCGCGAAGAAACCCATTATGCGCAAGTCTCTCCGGACTATCTTCTCGATGTTGGGATGGAGAACCTTGATGGCAACATGGCTAGATGGCACTCTCGAGGGTGAGCTCTTCAGCGTCACGTCGACGTTCTTCTTGATCCGACGCGCTAGATTGGCTTCTTTTCGATCGATCGAGTTGTCCTCTAGCGTGGCAAGGTGTGGCTTCAGCTTTGCCTTGTACACCTGCGCGATGGCGCCCACACCCAGTGGTTTCTCGTCAAACTCGTCGAAGATATCGTCGAAGCTCTGTCCATCAAATGCCGCCTCGATTGTTCGCTTCGAGGTTTGCAGTGTGTGCGCCGGGGCGTTGGAGTGGAGGGTTGACATGATGAGACACATCTCGGTCGGAAAGACGTCTGTTCGGGAGGCTGCCCATTGCCCAAGCTGGTAAGAGGGTCAGTCTGCAGTCGACGGGCCATATTTTGGTGTAGCAATACGCACCTTGATGAAGGCAGCACCGGCCCTCTCCATGGAGCCGACCAGGAAGCCATACCACCACAATGTCCCGCTCCGCTCGTTGTCCCTATCCGGCTGCCGTGATCCAAGCCATATTGCAGGTATCGTCACTATGACGGGCACGAAGATGATGATGAGATGGAGAAAGCGGAATCCGGTGGCTATGGGCTCGATGATGTAGTCGTCAATGAGGAAGTATATGCCCCGCCTGTACTTGGAAGAGTTCCTCAGCGCATGGGGCACCTGCTCATTCAGTTCCTTCCGCGACGCCTCCAGCATGGCCTCCTCGTGCGTCTTTTCTCCATGATCCGACTCGTCGTTGGCGACCTGGACGAATGCGAGTGGGCTGAGTATCGCGCCCCCCGCAGCCCCCGTGGCTGCGCCTGACCATAGCAGCGTTCGGCCCTTGAACTTTGGAGTCGCCCATTGTCGGCCGAGGCGAGATGCCTTGCTGGTCCATGGACGCGTGCATGCGCGGGCGGCGAGTTTAGGGAGGCCTGGGCGGAAGCATTGGCGGCCAAAAAGGAACGCTGTCCTCATGGTACCGGGTGTTGGGTGGATACAACGCGTCTGACTTCCATGAGGCAATGTAGCGAGCCATGCTCGACCTCAGCCAGGTTGCAAGCGTGGGTCGTGACGTCGGTCGGCGCAAATTCCATGTGACACCGACCTCCGCGGCCACCAACAAGCCTACCCCTCTCCTCCCACTACGCCGGACATGACCTCGCATACCCCCACGCGCGGACCATCCTCCTCATGCAACCTATTTCTAGACGGAACCATGTTCATAACAGAAAGATGAATATAGTTCATTACAACAGATAATAGCCCTGTTCCTCGGCAATGGATATCTACGCAGTAACAAAACCCTCAAACCCCTTATCCAGCACACTCCGCGTCATTTCACTGTACAATGGGAACCCGCCCGCAAAGTTCAACTGCTCTCGAAGCTTGCCAGGAATGTTGTCGCCCATGTACCACGACTTGGTCTGCGGGAACAGTGTCTTATCCGAGAGCTCAGTGATCTTCTCCCGCCATTCCTTCTCTGCTTCGTGTGTGGGGTCGCAGTAGTTGATACCTTGCTCTCGAAGCTTGACCATGGCATCCACAATCCAGTCTCCCTGGACCTCAACGCACGTGGGTCCGTTGGAAAACGCCGTCGGACCCTGGGCGCCATAGAGGAAGAAGCAGTTACTACGATCCAGTCAGTATCTCCAACAAGCTGGCTGTGTTTGGCAGCTTACGGGAACCCGCTCAAACTCATACCCAGGTACGAGTAAGTACCGTTTTTCCATTTTTCCGACAATTCAACACCGTCAACATCCTTAAGTCCCATGTTCTTCATTCCACCAGTCACTGAGTCGAAGCCGGTTGCGAGGGCGATGACATCAAACTCGTGAAGCGTACCATCGGATAGCACAATGCCCTTCTCTGTGACTTCCTTGATTGGATTCTTGTTCACATCGACAACCTTGTTCTCGGGCTTGTCGAGCATCTCATAATAGTTTTGTTCCAGACTTGGTCGCTTGGTGCCAAATGCGTGCGGGGGCTCTAGAGGCGCAAGAATCTCACGCTTCTCTGGATCTGTTATCCGGGCACGCGTCTTTTTGGCCCAGAAGTTGTAGGCTTCACGATTGGCCTTGTTATCAAATAACAAGTCCTTGTAGTTTGCCTGCCGATATGTAAGTTTCTACACACATCCGAGCTTGACGTGTGTATCTTACCAGCCAGAACTCAAAACCACCGTTCTCCCACATCTTCTCGTAGAACGCTTCGCGCTCCTCAGGCGAGTCGTCAAATGTGTTCTTCTCAATGTAATCGTACTGGAAGCCAGCGAAAGTTGTCAGCCTTCTCTTGAAGATCTCCTGGTATTCTCCTTGTTTCCGCTTGTCCTGCTCCTCTTTGGTCAGAGGCTTTTGCTGCATAGGCAGGCAAAGGTTCGGCGTTCGAACGAATTGCGTTATACTTGCGGCCGTTTTCGAAGTCTCTTGGGCGATTTGGACACCGGTCGACCCAGTTCCAATGACGGCAACACGCTTGCCAGTGACGTCTACTCCAGATGCAGGCCAGAATGAGCTGTGATGGATTTCTCCCTCGAATTTGTCCATACCTGGCCAATCGGGAAAGTGGCGCTTTGCCGCGAAACCTAGGGCCAAGAGGAAATATTTGCAGCGCGCTGTGCGACCGTCTTCCGTCTTCACCACCCACTTCGACGAAGGCTTGTCGAATTGTGCGCCGACAACCCTGGTGTTGAATGCGCAGTCTTTTTTAATGTCCAACTTTCTCTCGACGTGGTCAAAGTACTTTTGGAGCTCTTCCGTACCGGGATATCTGCACGACCAGCTCCAATCCTAACAAACAAATGTCAGTCTCGACAAAAAGAGATTGGTCAAATATCCGCCTTACCTGCCAGATCTCAGGCATGCTGTACTCATAGATAGGAACCTGAGAATCGACTCGAGCTCCAGGATAGCAGTTCCAATGCCATATGCCACCAATGTTGGTACCAGCCTCCATAATCTTGCATTTGAAACCCTGTTGGCGAAGCTTGTGCATTAGGTAGATGCCGCCGAAGCCAGCGCCTACGATCAGCACATCAGTCTCGAGCTCTTTTGCATAGTTCTCGTTATTTGGATCCGCCGCTTCATTCGTCGCGCCAATATCTGTCCGGAAGTGGACCATCGTGAAGATAGAGTTTTTGAAAAGAGGGAAGATTGAGAAATCAAAGGGTGCTGTCGATCTCACTGATGGGCACGGTATGGGCGACACGCTATCTTTATATACCTTGACCTACAAGATACCCCTCCCACGCGAATCCTGCATGATCGTCACGCTACTCGCGATCCTGCAACGATTTTGTGCCCGACAACCAGGGCGAATTGTGTTTCGTCCATGGATGCCGCTATACTAGAATCATCCTTCGAGACTCTGTCGATCTTCTCTAGTATCCCATCTGGCCGGACGTCTAAAGGGGTCGGATATGTCACGGGTTAGGACATGAGACTGGCAGTCTGGATGTGCCTGGATGCGGAAACACTCCGTGGTTACGCCACGCACACACATGCGACCATGACGGTTGCTCTCCGAATGCTTAGTTTGCGGGGTAGCTGGATCTACCCCGGTACCCCGCATAACACCGTTCTATAGAGGCGAAGATGGTGCCGAGCGACACTCCGGCTTGCCGTTTCCAGCATTTCCGATACAACGACTGTCAACCTGCTCGAGATTCTTTCCTATCAAGAGACACAATGGCGATCTTATCGCTCATACGGATGCGTTTGCAACAGCAATGCTTTCCCGGATCATTCTCAACGGGCACTATCTAATATGCAAATACCCGCTGCGTCAATGACTCGTGTTCAAAATCGTATGCATGCAGGCTTCTAGGACGATTACTATGTACTACTTCGTGTCACATGAGACAAACTAAGTTTGACGATCCGATCGCCGCCTAGCCACTTTAGTAGTCGATAGGAATTTGGCTGTCTCCAGCATGCGCATCTACGGAGCATACACACACTGCCACCCGGCCCGAAGGATCATCTTTGCGGAACCGCATTCTACAATGGTCGAACAAGGATACTTATGCGGCTTTCCCTAGCTGTCTGGGGAGCTTATAGGACTGGATGAAAGGAGGCCCAGCCCTTCTGAAAATGGTATCCCTTTCCACTCGTACGAATTTAGCAGAGTTGGTGGCAGTCATGAAGCATCGACGAGCTGGATGGAGCATCTGGAAACTGGCTTACCACAACTCACAACAAAATGGCAAGAGCTTGGTCAGACCTAGCGTGGTGATGTGGCTGATACGCGAAGAAACGACTCTAATCGACTCGGTCAAGAGATGACGTGGACCAAGATCTCCACTTCGCTAATAACTTGTCGTGCTATCTTCGTTACGATTCGAGCGGACAGCGATTAACCGATCCGTCCGTTGTTCGCGTAAATGCAACGTCGGTACACGTAGTCACAGCCCTGCTCCCGTGATGCTTCTCCGATGTGGTGGATAGTACCGATCGGGATGGCAGAACACTTCAAGTGGATTTGCATGGCCATTGTGCATCCTGTAGCAAATCCCCCAAAGTCTCTCCAAATACCCTTACCTTTACAATGTCGAAACCCCTTTTTGAACGTTCCAGTTTTTGGCGCGTCTAATTCGTCATTTTTTAGCAGAGTATCTCTACAGACCCAAGCCCGCCCAAAAGTATACTGACTGTCTTAGCCCGAACTCGAAGGACCTTTTATTACCAAAACACCTGATCAATCTCATTTCCCTCTACTCTCACCATCCAGCTCCTGGGGATCCGGGTTCGGCATCTCTGCTGCGATTTGCCCTTTGTCGCTGACCTCATGACATGTGCCTGCTTTTGATGCGTCCACAGTGGAAGCGTCTACCTCGTAAACATCGAATCTACTGTGCTGCTTCTTGTTCTTATGACGACGGAACAAAAAGAAGGCCACAAAAGCTGAGGCTAGGACGACGACCGGAACGGCAACGCCTGCGGCTATGGCAACTATGCGGTTGTTCTTAGGAGTAGAAGCCTGCTCGGTCGCTTCCGTTGGCTGAGGCGATGACACCGGTGTTGTGGGGGTAGATGTTGCTGACCGTGGTGTCGATGCTGGAGAAGCAAACGTAGATGACAGTAATGATGTTATCGATGGTATGGATGTTGTAGCAGCTCATCATCATGTTAGTTCGTCACCCTCCAAGCCAGAAACACCTCATTGCTCACTAGTAATCTCGGCCAATTTAGACCCTCCAATCTCGCAATAACTACTGAAAACCCCCAATGCAGTCGTGTTCTGTGAAGGATCGTCAGGACACTCGGTGGCGACATGAGCACCAATCATGCTGGAGAACTTGGCAGAGCTCTCGTAACAGACTACAAAGGCGATAGATACAAGGTCAGAGCATGTCTCAAACGCACGTCGTATCCTATGATGGAAACTCACAACAAGTAAACGACGTGAACGCACTGTCGCCACCATCTCCACATCCGTACTTCATATCCCGCACAATGGTCGATAACTCGAGCTCTGCACATGTTGCCAGGAGAGAATATTCGTCAATTTGATCGATAAAGATACTCGTCGGTCCGCTGGCAGCCACGATGTTGGCCAAGGCTAGAACAAGAGCAAGAGCGAAAACGATTCGTATTCCGAACATTATATTGTCTGTTAGCGTACCTTCTCTTTTACCGAGTAAAACGATGAGAGCCTTCTTCACACCGGAGAGGCTACCGAAAGAGATGCGGAAAATGCTAAGTCGAAATCGAGCCGACGCGTTTTGTAGGCAGGGCAGACTCGAATCATGTGCGTCGAACCCTCCCGTTCTTCAGTCTTCAGAAGCGGATTTGTTGCTGTGATAGCAAGCACACCTGCATGCACATGCCTGAATTTGCAGAGCTGAACTCCTATTGGCCCCCATGCGCAGATAAATGGGATTTGGCCTCAACATATGGGCAAGGCTGAGACAACGTGCTGCATGTACAACGCCGGGCGAGGGACGCTGGTGGTCTGATAGTGACAGATAAGGCTCTGGCGTTTTTATTAATGTCCAGCGTTTACCAGGTTTGGCGAGTTCAAAACCATCGATATTTGGGCTGCATGTTGAGCTAATCGAGGTGAGTGGGATGGTGCGGAGGCGCCTGCAAGGCTGCATGCACGGTATTACGGGATATCCAAACAAGTGCTTTCGCACCACTCTATCACAAGCAGCTGACAGGATCAGACTGGGCTACCCGGAGATTCTCGGTGATACATAAATAGTTGATCGATGATTTAAGTGGCTTAAGAGCCAATATGGCTGAGAAGGCTAGCCCCATACTTCTCACCATGGGTACAGACGTATTAGGTCATCTGCGACACCAGCAAGGATGACTTTAATGGCCTTTGTGGCGTATAAAAGCCTCCTCATGGTGACTGCGAGTGCCGTTATTGAGCACTGCTGTAAACAGCATCTGTTTCTCCTTTTTATAACCCTACTCGGGTGAACTGACCAACACCTACAACATGCGCGGCCGTACGGCCTTTGCCGTCCTTGTCGGGTTAGCGGTAACAGCAGTCGAGGGTTTCGTACCAACGCGGAGACAAAAATCGACCTCCTTTGCAGGAAGTAACGAGTACTTTCTTCATGCGCTGTCTGCTTCCGAGCAAAAGACATACATCGAGACACTTGCTGGATGGGGGGCGAAGGTCATAAGGCTATGGGGTGAGCAAAGGCCTAGTGCTGCAGGCCATAATGATACGATGTCTATGTACAACCAAAACCTCCTTCAAAGCCTTGATGAATATCTCCATAGGCAGACTGGAGGAAAGAGTGAATCGGATGCTAACGATCGGTGTACAGTAACAAATATTGATGAAGGGTGCTTGAAAGGAAGCACGATCACCAATTCCATGCCGCCGCTTGAAACCTCCGTTGGCATATTTAATACCACTGTGTTAGCTGCATTGGACGCTACACTCAAGCTTCTCCACAACAACGGGATGAAAGCTATCATATCTCCTCACAACGCCAACTCACTAACTGGTGATGTAGCCTGTGATGCGTACTACCAAAAATATACCGATGCATCTACCTTCTATTCCTCGACCGAAGCCAAAGCAGACTACGACAAGCGACTAGAAGAGATCCTCAACTACCAGTCGCCAAACTTTGGCGAGGCCTGGAAAAGCCTAGATCAGGTGATTATGGCTTTCGACCTCCAGAACGAGCCTCTGATCAAACAGCTCGACAAGTTGAACAACAATGACCCAGATGACTGGCTATGTGGTCGTGCTGGAGTGATGCGCAATGCACTTGGATCGTCTAATATCAAGATCGCCACGGGCGGTATTGGCGGATCTCACTATTGTTGTGACCACGAGTTCAATACGCTGGAGAAGGCCATCCAATGCGATGCAATCGACATCATCAGTATGCATGGATACATGAGTAAGGCATCCGACTGGGCCTACTACATTACCGGCGACAAGGAAGTTTTGAGCGGAGCAAGAGCTGCAGGAAAGAACATCATGATGGAAGAGTGGGGCGTTTCGACTGACTTCCAGGATTCTTTCGATACTCAGGCCCAGATATTCAATGATGCTGGAGTTCCTTGGGTAAGCATGAGAGCTGTACATATTCGAAAACAGGCATGCTAATATACAATGAAGCTTTATTGGCAGTTCGTCCCTGGCTTAGACGGTTCTGAACCAGGAGCGCCGACCGGTTGCGGTTACGATGGTTTTGAGATTGGATTGGACAGCCCCAAGGGTGATGCTGCTGGCGCAATTGCTGCAGCAAACGCGGCTCCAGCGGCACAAAGTTGGGCAAATTATCTGAGATAAGCCAATCGGGACAATATTTGCCTTCTGTGTCTTTGCAGTCGCAAGGGCGATTTCCGATATGTCATGAAGGATTCAGCAATAAATCAGGCAGAAAAGAGCAACTTATTCCAGCCACCTCGATACTGTACTAGCTGCTTCACAAACAAAAAAAAAGATTCATGAAACTGCTTAGAGTGTGAGGACTAGGCGCCTTGGACAATGGAGGAACTTGGAGTGGTATTGGTAAACGGTAATAGGCTGGCTCGCCAGATCCCGACCAATTAATGAGAATTTGTTGATGATAAAACACTCGCCCAACCTATCAATAGTGCCTCATCTTCTTCTCACTCCTTCTCTACATCTAGCGCCGGCGGCGGTAAGCCCGCTGGACTGATCTCCTTATCAAGCGCCAAGCGTTCCGGGCTTACAATCTCTCCCGGGCTTATTATTTCTCCCTTCTCATTCGCAATAGGTATATGTGATGCGTCTTCATCTCTCTCATCTGATCGACCTCGCTCTTCACTCTCGGTCATATTGTGCTCTTTCCCATTCCCGTTTGTGCTACGCTCGAAAGCCTCAGGAACTTTTTCGCTGAGGTCGATAGCGACGAAGGATTTCGGGAGTTTGACGCTAGACATCGTTAGTTTCTGAAGCATTTGATAGCTATGAGAGACACTCACGTATGGAACTTTGCACGAAGAGTCTCGAGGACCTCTTTCCAATCTTGGTGGAGAGTGAGGCTGCGGCGAGGCGCGAAGCCAATCATATGGCGTGAGTCCAGTTGTCTATCCATGTTAGTAGCTACCGAGGTATATAAAGGCAGAATATGTGACTTACACGTCAAGTGGAGCGAAGGCATGACAGCCTGGCGATAACGTGATGCGAATACTATAGTTGAAGGTGTGCGGCTTATCATCGATACTAGCATTCTCCGACTCGTAGAGCTCAAAGTTTATCTGCGACAAGTAATCGAGCTCTGGGATAGCATTGCGTTCGATCTTGGTCTTGATACCGCCCTCCAGAATGCAGTTGAGCAGTGTGTAGATGTGCGATTCCTTGGTGAAGTAGAAGAAGCTCTTCGGCATGTCGGACGCCTGGAGCTCTTCCAGGTCTCCAACAATCTCTTTGAGTAGTGGAAGCGATGTAAGTAGACCAATCTCTAGCTTCTCCTCGCTCTCGATGCCGTATTCCTGTGGTCCGATGTAGTCGAACAAGACCTTGCAGAGGTGGTACATCTCACGTAACTTGACAAGTCGCGCGTCAGTCTGTGCCTTGGACGTCGCGGTCCCGAGACCAGAATACAGCTTGAAGTACGACTCGTGTACATACGATGGGGGCGCAGGAGCTTTGACGGTAAGCTCAGACTTGCGCCTGAAACCCATGCGATGGGACAGGCTACCGCGCTCATGGGTCTTTTCTGTGCTCTGCTCTTTCTCCTTCGCCTCCGCCTTCAACTGAGCTTCTGATGGACTCGGGCCAACTGGTATCGACTTCCCGGAACTGTTGTCAGGCGTAGTCTGCTTTGACCCGTCCGCAACCGAGTCTTCATCCACAAAGCTGGCATCGGGCGTAAATACCCATTCAAGGAATGCGCGGTTGTGTAGGGCGTCGAACTTCATCGTGTCGTAAAGCTCAGATATTTTGCTTGGGTCGACTTTATCAGCATCTCCAAACTCCTTGAACAACTTCTCCCACCGTTCTTTGAAAAGTTCAGGGCCTTCATTACAGCACCAGCGCGATTGAATGTGATTAACATTGGTGTACTGAGATTGACCTGACGACTGTGCCCCGCCTGGTGGAGATGCTAGTGCAGCTAGCGACGAGATCGCTTCAGATTCGATCTTCTTGAAGTTGTGGTTCATAACGCGTTGATGGAACTTCATCAGATCCACCACTTGCCTAACGACAATGTATGGCTCTGGTACATCTTTTGGCCACGCGAACTGAGGTGGGGCTTTGTCGCCCGCGCGTAGCAAAGTCTTGAGCTTCTTCTTGACCTTGTCCATGACATCCTTTGCCGCGTTCGAGTCGTCTAGAAGGTCTTTGCGGACTGAGATGTGCTCAGATTGGTATTGTTCCTTTTCCAGGAATGACGCTCCAAATATTTGTGCACTGGTGGTCACTCGTCGCTCCGAGCTGCTGAAGATATGAACATCGTCTAATACATCCCGATTCATCAACAAAAGGTCGTTACGGAAGTTCGCACCCATGTCCTGTGTTTGGTGTCGAGCGGAGTGAGTAGGTTCACCTCCCCACTTGATAATCAGTTGTAGCTTGTCCAGCACCATGTTGTTATCTTGCGCGGTGATACGAGACAAGGTAACACCAGACATGGAGTCGCTCCTGTTCTTAAGTGGCTCGGGTCCGCCTTCTTCGCCGGTAGCCTCGGTCATCTCCTTAGCATCAGCAGTTGGCTCAGGCTTTTGTGCCTCAGGAGTTTCTTCGGGTAAAGTCTCTCCTGGTAGCAGCTCTTCCTTTCTTCGCTTCCGGAACATAGGCTTGATCTGCACTTTTGTTCCAGGCCAAGCGCCCTTCTTATTCAGATACAATTGCAGCTCACGCAGCTTCTTCGAGTCTTCCAGACCTTCGTCCATAGCTAACTTGACGGCATCGCTCACACTTTGCAATGCTACCTCTCCAATCAGTAGCACTTCTGCCTGGTGACCTTTGAGTAGGTCGACGAATGGCTTGGAGTGGAAAGTGTACTTGAACTTCTGCTTCGGAGTGCGATCCGCATGTCGAATGACAGACACAACACCTTTGAGCTTCCACTGCGCCGCCGTTGCTGGAGGGGGTACCTCCAGATAATCTTCTGACATTGACCTTTCTGGTTCGAGTTCTAGATCGTCTTCTTCGAATGCAGACGGAAGTGTGATATCAGGCTCGGACACCGGACCATCTGGTGTTGAAGTAGAAGTAAAGGCTGTTGGACTCAGAACTGTAGCAGGATTGGGTTTTTCGAAACTAGGTGAGGATGCGATAGGGGTAGAACTGAGTGATGTGTCGGGTGATGAGGGCATAGTATTGGATTGCCGCATATGATGGAGGTTGTGCGCATGATTTCCCATTCTTGACATGCTGGGACTCTTGAAGAGTTTCCCAAGAGTCTTACGATGGTTTGAAGCACCCTTTCCAGGAATGTCTGTACCAGCTTGTGCATCGGCAGCAGCATGTTGAGCGGCATCTTTGCGTTGTTTCCGCGCGATCTCTTTGAGGAACATGTCTTTTAGGATGTTGGCCGCCTTGTCGTAATAATCGCCATTGTCCTTCACAAAGCTCCACCCATTGACATCGATAACGTAGCTCTGGTCTCCAGTGCGGAGCAGATCAAATCCGCACACCCGCTGACCAAATCCTTCTGAGATCTTTGCTGCAATAGCGGCCTCTGACTCGCTCAGTTTCGTGACATATCGGACTTCCTTGCCGCTAGGGTTGCGCTTAACAAGACCATCAACTACTGGTGACTTTCTTGTCTCGGCATGGCAGAAGTTTGGTCCGACGGTATAGGCTTTGACGTCTTCAGAATTCTCCACTTGCAGAAATTGCTCGTAAATGTAGCTGCCTGTTGGTTCGAGTATGGCCCTCGGTACGTCGAGAGTTTCATCTTTTTCCGAGCTCTTGTTGTTGATCTTCCTGAACAATCTGCGGCCACCGCCGCCATCCTTCTTATGGAAGTAGATGTGGATGTTGTGGTCTTCACCACTCACTGGCTTCTCTACGAATGGCTTTGTGAGGGTAACACCATCAACGCGGATGGTGTTGTTATCGTCGATGAGTTCAATGTTCTTGGGAGCCTGGAAGCCTCCACCAGTGCCGTCTTCAGGTCCTTCCAGTTTCAGACCTGTCCTCTCGTACAAGGCTTTGGCGAATTCAGCCGACGGTAGCTTCGGTCCACCGTCTCGACTGACGTCGATGCGCTTTGGCGTGGGAACGCTGAGCTTGTCCAGTATACCAAGACACAGGCGGCGGTCCCACAGCACCTGTTGCATGGGCAGATCGTTTACGCAGAAGGGCTTGCGCAGTCGGGTGTAGGCAATGGCTTTGTCCAGGGGGAAGCCATCGGAAAAGAAGGATATGAGGAAGTCGCACACTGGCCAGTTCTCGACAGCTTCGTCGAGGATGATCTTGTCGCCAAAGATCTTGACCTCGAACTCGTCGACGAGCTTGCCAAAGATGTTGCGCGCAGGCTTACTGCGAGCTTTGGACTCGAGTGCGCATACGCCAATGATGCCTTTTGTCGGCTTCTTCTCCCTCATTTCTCGGCTAGCCGGGCTGCTGCTGGGAGCCGTGCTTCCGCTGATGCGTCTCTGGGCCGTCCGGCTGCGTGAGCGACGCGGCTGGGTTGACAGAGGCGGCTGGCTGGTGTGGGGAGACGCGGGGTGGGCTGGGGCGGCGCTGGGGCTCGCGGACTGATTGCTGGCGGCTTGGTCTTGGGGAAACAGCAATTGCGTAGGCGAGGCTTTTGTGCCGAGACTGCCATTCTGGCTCGAGGTAGTGACGGACAGCGACGAGGTGGCCGTCGTGGTGCCGTGTGGGTTCTCCATCCTTGCTGTGCAGAGTCGGTGGGTCAGTCCATGGCCGCCATATGTGCATGTGAAAAAGCTACGAGGCCGTGTCGGCCCATGACGTACGTACCTTCCGGTTCAGAGCCCGCTACCGAACTTCTTCCACTCCAACTGTAGCCCCGATTGGAGATGGCAGACACAAACGACGAGATGGACAGTCGCTTCGACTCGGTCGCTGCTGCAGTGCCGACGTCAGCTCGCGCATGTCGGAAGGAATCCGGCAGCAGCAGAGGATTTACTGGCGCGCTTGCAACACTTCCCCGGGTGCTCTCTAGCGTTGGCGTCGCTTGATCCGAGTCGTCGACAGCAGAGCCAGACCAGGCATGTCCAAAATACTCAAAGAGACTGCTATCCGATGCCTTGGAGGGGCGGCGCGCGGGCAGGCTCTGTCGAATCGCCGCTCGACCAAGCGAAGGGACTGACACACTGGGACGCTCTACGTTGTCTCCGCCAGTC